TATTCAGAGAAACTCGAATCACAAAAGCGTGAAGTTCGTTAAAAAACATTTTGCGTTCAAATTGATAGTCAAATGATGAACCAAACTAGAGTCGAGAATTTGACTGTTCGATTGAAACTTTTGTCGAAATTAGAATTTGAAATTTCTTAAAAAGTTTTTTTATTTGTGTGCTCGAAAGGGAACTTTCAATAATTCTGAAAGGCTTTTGTTGAAACTCAACTCCATTTCTCGAAATTTCATGTAAATATTAATTTTCCAAAAACTCATTTCTGTTTATTAATGGCCATCAAAATGAAGAATATTTTGAAAGACACTTTGATAAGTTACAAGATTTGCATAAAAAAAATGAATATTCATCAGTATCATGAGTAAATGTTAACTTTATTAACCTGTTCATTGCAATTATTCAATGTTTGCTTATTAGAAACGGTGAAACCCATTCGAGCCAAAAAATCTTACTTTCATCAAATCCAATTAGACAACACTTTTCAATCCATCCCAGGATACATTGGTTCAACATCGAGTGTTTCCCGTTGTTGTTGGTTTCAATCTTTGGTTTTTGCATTCAAATTGCATTTTTTTGTGTTTTCATGAATTTTTTCAGATAACAGAGTTGAACATTTTGCTATGCATGTTGCCGTGGACCAAACAGAGATAAGAAAAGTTGAAAGGCAAAGGCAAAAGTAAAAGATATGAAATTTAAAGTAATTTAATGGTTGAAACAACATGATTCTTAGTTGAACGAATGAGCAGAAAAAATAGATTTCCATGAAAAGAAAAGCATGACAAGCTGATGAAAAATGAATCTCTGTTTACCTTTCTTCTCATCTCTTGCAACATTATAATATTCATCTTACATTTCACTTTCTTCTGTATAATATCTTCCATAAGGTTGGCTTGCAATTTTTCAAATGCTGATAATAATCAAAATTGGCAACTGAGGACAAAATTTTGCGCCTCATTTTCCGTGTCATTCAAATTTCAATGCCAACTGACAGCACAGTAAACAAAGGAATCACATTATAAACCAAAATTCAGCAAAACTTAGGCACGGCCAATTTGCTCACAGTTGCATGATGATAAAAGAAACAAAAGATTACTTAACCATGACAAAATCAGCGAAAAGTCAAGTTTTACAGAAAATGGTCACTAATAAATCAAGTCAGAATTTACATTGAAAATGCATGGAAATTCTGGTAACTTGCATTTTCCACATTCAAGTTTCCTTGGAATATTTTTCAAAAAACTGGGAGTGAAAAGGGTGAAAAGAGAGTTATTCAAGGTTTTTAAGTGAAGTCTATTTTTGTGTTGGAACAACTGACGAAATCTTTTGAATACATTTATATTCTGATTTACGATAATTTCCTCAAGCCGTTTAGATGATATTGCATTACAGTTGAATTTGATTGCAAATGCTCTACTTTTCAAGTGTAGTTGCTTCATCAGTGACCAAATTTTTGTTCAGTATTGCTTTAGATTTGTTGAGAGATTTTAGTCTTCAGTTAAGTTAATATAATTTCGAAAAGTTTTTTGAGAATTTCTGGTTTCATAATCACTGAGTTCATTCGTTTTATTTGATTTCTTGTTAAGCCAATCAGTTCAAAAGATCAGGTTCAGTTTAAACTCATTATAAATTAAAGATTGTTCGTAACTCAATAATTTATTGTTTTTCTGGAAAATTGATGAACTTTCACACTTAAAGGTTTCATCAGTTTGCTATTTTTACTTGATATTGATTCCATTTTTTCAATTTATATCAAATAAATTTGATTCATTGTAAATATAGTGACTTAACGCTTTAGTTAGTGCTTGCACAGAAAGCAGCTAATATCGACATCAAAGTGAAAGCTATAATAAAATGTAACTTAAAATACAAATTTTGTAAATTTAGTTTCGTTAACAGATTTCAAGAGTATACTGGCACTTGAAGAATAACGATTTTATACCATTTTTGTGCCGGGATTCGGTTAAGTCTAACTTTTCTGAGCGTCTGATTTTGCTAAAGTTTAAAACTCGAAATAAAGCGATTTGCAAAATTTTTAAAATCGATCTCAAGTCGATTCAATTTTGCCGGCAAATGATAGCTAAAAAGTTAACATTAAGCTCAACATTTACTTGAGCAAATTATCACTAATTCATGTTTAATTTTGGGTTCATTTGAGAAGCAAATTGGCTTTAATAGTTGATCGGCTGATAAAGCAAACTCATTACTCTTTGTCTTTTTTCATCTCATTTTCCCTATTTGTAATGATATTACATATAATAATAAGTATAATAATAATAGTAATGATAATAATGTTACACTTTTTGTCTTCTTTCATTTCATTACTTCATTATTAATAGAAGTTCACATTTTGTGGTGATGAAAATGACTATCAACATGATAATGATAACAATTATTAATAAGAATGATTAAGAAGCGAAAGCGAAAAAAGACGAGAAAATGCAACTTTTATTTGATCAAAGCGAATTAATAACTAACTCTTTATTTGTCTTTTCCCATTTAATTTGATATATTTTTTTCCTTGTTGATTATCATGATACTCTTAATGGTTTCACATAAATTATATCATCCAATGCTTATTTTATCATGCCAATTTTAATGACAAATAGTGATGATATTAAAGATAAAAATAGACATTTTCAACTTTTCTTTTTTCCCTCTCAATTCTCCAGTTATTACAATTCAATGAATAAAACTTGATAACTTGAACAATTTTGAATTTTTACTTGCATCTGTATTCATTCCTATCATCATTAACCATTGTTAAAAGTGTTGATGATTTCAATGCAAACTTCAATGAAAATTGAATTTACACTTTCAGATAATGAACTGAATCAAATCACTTGAAATGGTTTGAGTTTCAGTTGATTTTCAGGTAAAAAGTGCGACATTTAAATTGGTTGCAAATTCAATTATTTTTTGTTATAACATTTACATCTTTTCATTGTTTAGTGAAAACAAGTTATCCAAATGTTTTAACAACAACCGATAACAAATGAATAAATATGAAACTATTGATGAACAAGACTCGTCACTAAATGAGTAAACCAGTGAGTTTTGAGGCTTTGACTTTTATCGATGAGTAGCGAATGCGAAATGATTCAGACCTAAGTTCGACCTTTATTTTAACGAAAATTATCGATCATTGAATGTTTCAATTGCTCAAAAGAACGCCATTCTGTGTATCATCTCGGTCTAGTCGAGTTTTTTTATTAGACATTTCAATAGATTCTTATCAACTTTAAAAGTCGATTTGCTTTGTTGCTTCTTTGCTCATTCGTCTTTTGCTATCATGCTTATGCTTCATCCATTATGATGAAGTGAGATTATCCTATCCTGGTGTTGAGATTATCCTAGAAGGGGTCAAACACAAGTGAAATCACGAGAAAAAATAAGTGTAAATTTGCTTTCCTTTGAACTCACTGAGAAACTATGTAAGTGAAAATATGCAAGTTGAATAAGAAATGAATAATTAAAGATAAAAATATGAAAATCCTTCGATTCTGACATTGTTTCCAGTCAATAAAATACATCTGGCTTAACATGGTGAAACTGAATGACTGAAAGGTTTATAATTTACCAGACTAGCTGAATGTTGAGCCATCTGTTGAGACAAATTTAACCTCATTCATCTTGTTCCTCATTCAAATGGTAATGAGATTTCTCAGCAAATAATTTTTTCACTCAATTATATTCATCAAATTCTCAAGTCTTTTCTGTTGAACTTTTAAATTTGCATCTCAAACAAACGAATTGATGTTGTCTTTGGATTTAGGAACCATTTTCTCGCCAAATTATCCATAATTTTGGGCAGTCAATAAATGCTATAAAAGCTACTAAAGCCAACAAAAAGCATGCAACTTTGACAAGGTTACTTGTTAGACACAAAAACTGCTCAGACAGTCTGGATTTTGAGTGAAATATTAGTTTATCGTTGAATCGGATTACTATTGATTGCAATAACATTTTCCGATGGAAAACATTGTCAGACAAAAGCATCAAAACTTGAAGCATTTCAAGATACAGAAATTTGAAAATATCAATTTCATTTGAAAACACTTTTCAATTGTCGATGAAATGTTCGTAACAAAATGATCTAAATGATCGTAAAAATGTCATTTTTACCAATCAATAACGATGGAATTTGAAATGACTCAAACCATCAAATGATACTTGAATCCTTTAATATTAGCAATAATAAAAGTAGAGCAAAAAAGGAACCCAAAATTACTGCAAAGTATCGAGAAATTCATGTCTTTTGAAACAACAGAAAGTTTTCACCAAAACTCTCTGAATATGAAGAGGAAATGAATATTGAATGGAATAATTTTCGACAAAAGATTTTGTTCAATTGAATGATAAAAGAGTCTACATTTGAGAAGAAAAATTGCAACTTATTTAACGATTCTGCAAATTAACCATTAAAGTTACAAAAAAACTTCATGGAACAAGTTGAATCTGAAAGTTGGCAATTTTTCATGGCAACACAAAAGCAACATTAACTGGTAACCATTTTGATTCCAGTTAATTAACTCTTGATTTAAAAGCAAAGTTGAAGTGAGAATAGAAAATAATTTTCCAAATATCATGATAATAATTGAATAATTTTGTTTCCTTTGAGATTTATTACAACATTTTAAGCTTATTAAGATAAATGCTAATGAACTGAAAGACAAATGAAAGGTAAACTCGCAATTGATCGAGGTTTTCATGGAAAGAGGTGAGCATGAAGAATGGAGAAAAAAAAGGAATCTAAATTACTGATTCAGTTTTGTTAATCTAATAACTGAAAGCTTTAACCTCATCGATTGATCAACGAATTTCACTTTTTGAATATTAAATATTGTTTGATTGTTCTAATTGTTGAAAGGGTCGAGTTCAAAATGAGTTGACATCAGCAGTAAAAATGCAAATTAAACTTTTCATCTAAAATCTAATTAACAGCAATTTGCTAATGAAAGCAACTTTTTTTCCTTTTTCTTTTCGCAATTTCCAGTGTGATCCAGCAGTTGGAATGAAGGCTTTTTTCGACATGATTCATGGTGATCCTAAAAAGCTGATACTCTTTGGTGATGCTTGTACTTCCGTCACTGATCCTATTGCTAAAGCGTCCAAATTTTTTAATCTTATACAGGTGAGTTGATTATCAATTGAAACTTGAAAACTGTTTGGTGCTTGAAGAGTCAAGAGTTAGTTTGTTTTAGTATTTTTTCTCATCTTTTTACTCGTTCTAACTGATCCAATAATGATTGAGTTTAAAGAATTGAAATTTATTCAGATGAAAATTCATGAAATTCTATTCATCACTTCATCTATAGCAAGGTGTATTGTCATGCAATAAGCTTAATAATGGAATATAAAATTGACTCGATAGCTTTACTTTCAACTCCCAAGATGAGAATAAAATATTTTCCTTTTTTTCTTGCTTTTTTTCGTTCCAATTTCACTCTTTTTTTTGGTTTTTACAAAATTTAAGGTTCATCACAAAGAAAAAAGAAAAAACAAACGAATGAATGAACGAAGCAAGATAATGCTAATGTAATAATAAATGCATAAACGAAATGAACTTTAGCTTGGAAATGTTAAAAATGGCAAATGTGAAAAGTTGTGTTTTTACAGTTTTTTTATTTTAAACTTTTCTCTTTTTCTTCAGCTTTCATATGCAGATACACATCCAATGTATACTTCAGAAAGTTATCCAAATTTTTACCGAGTTGTGCCCAGCGAAGCCGCCTTCAATCCAGCTCGATTAGCTCTTTTACAGCGATTCAATTGGACTAAAGTAGGAACGCTATACGAGAATCATCCAAGATATAGCTTGGTAAGTTGAGCTTTTGGTTGCACTCCAAACCTAACTTAACCTAACCTATCCAGTCAACCATGCTCAGCCTCAGAGACATGATCACTGAGCCATGTTTAGCGTTTATCAATTATACTTATATACAAAAACGTAAATCTGCGCCCGATAGGAGTAGCATACAAAGTCCGGTTCTGAAACAAGCTTTTTTTACTGGGACAGACCAAAGTTCTCCGCTGGGGGATGACTTTGACCTGAAAATATAAGAAAAGATAGTTTTGGAGATTCACAGAAAAAGATTAGTTGAAAAATAAATACATTTGAATTCATCATGAATAAATTAATAAAAAAAACGAAGAAGCAGGAAAATTCAGGAAAAAAAGATGATAGACGAATTAACAGGAAAATCAGGATCAATGAAATAATAGGAATAAGAACAGGGTAATAGCAGGAATAACAGGAAGAATGACAGGAGTGATTAACAGGGCTAACTGGGCTAATATGATAATAGTTTTTCCCTATTGCAATCTCACCAATAATAGAGGATCTTTTCGATCTGACACTAAGTTGAGGACTGCGACTTGACCAATGATCGACTTCCTTTTTATACCTTTGACAAGGCTGGAAAAGCCATGGAAAGGTAATTTTTTCATTAATTTTGATTTATTTAAGCTGAATTTGTCCTAGAACGGACAACTTTGTGAGGTTAGAATAGCAATGAGTATTGCATCATTTGTCCTAGAACGGACAAGTTGATCGTGGTACATTGTCCTAGAACGGACCATTTAGGTGTATGATGGTATGATGGTATTGTTCTAGAGTGGAAAAAAGCTAATTAAGGTCATCGAATGATGGTATTAACCTTATCGAATGATAGTATTAAAAAAAGCTAATTAACACCGTCAGACGGTGTAACTTTGGTCTGTCCCAGTAAAAAAAAGCTTGTCTCAGAACCGGACTTTGTATACAACTGATAGGGTCTCGATCTCATAACCATTTCTTTACCTACTCTTTAACCGCTGGACTGCCATCTGACAATAAATTACTCATTTCATTTACTCAATACTATTGAAGTAGGTAAACAAGATAGGCGGCGATAAGATAGATAGGCGATAAACAAATGAAGTTAATGTGTTAAACATAGCAAACGTAGAGACAGGCGATTTTACGTTTTCATTTCATGCGCTGATGAACGCTGTCTCTCTATTTTGTGTGCGCTAAAAGTTTAGGTTGACTGGGCTTATTCAAATTCTTGCCACTCAACAGTTATTTATTATAACTTAATCTTTTGCTTCTTTTTTTCTACTTTATTCCAATCCCAAAGCCTCACAGTAAATTGCTCACAGATTTAGATAAAGTTAATATTAAATTCAAGTTTACCCAAAGTGTTTCAGAAGACATTCAACTTGGAATCGAAAAGTTAAAGGTAAGTTTTACTGTTAATACTGAGAATTATTTGCAAATCAAAATTGTAATAAATTATTTTCTACCAATTCCAGGCTGAATCGGTTCGAATAATTTTGGGAAATTTTGGCGAAGATTTTGCACGAAAAATATTTTGCGAGGTAAATAAATCATGAAAAGCAATTAAATTGAATTCAATTGAAGACGAATCAATCTTGTCTTTGGGTAGATAAAAATATCAATATCAAATTCCCAAAGTGATAATAATTCCATTAAAGAGTAATCCAACAAAGCCATTAGCACCACAAAGTTGATATTGATGAAAGAAGCAAAAATTTCTCAATCTAAAAAATCGAAAGTCAAAAAGTTTACATGAAATTCGCATAAAATTGTGAAATGACGAATCACACACAAACATGAATACATCATGCATTCAACATTCTCAACTTTCCATTGTTCAATTTTCATCATTTTTCAATGTTTTCTCAACACTAATGACTATCTGAGAAAATATTAGAAACGCAAAAAAAGATGAACAGAAAAAAAGTTTTTCACTTTTTTCTCTCTCGACTTTTACTTCACTTAAATGAAGACAAATGAGAATGAATTTAAAGTACTTTGCTATTTTCCTTCGAGACTCTAGTTTAATGTCTATTGATTACAAGTTTTGTATTACTTTTTTTTCGTTTCCAACTTTTTTCTTTTCGTTATAAGATATTGTTTCACTTTTTGCAACGTTTACCTCTTTTGCTCCTTTAATACTCTTTTCAATCATTGTCACTGTCATATCAATAACTCAACGAAACTCTATTATTATTAAAGGGGATTGAATTTCATGGCAAGTCAACATTTATTTTGATCATTCAACGGAAATTATTGTGAAAACAAGTTCAGGCAAATATTTCACAATTAACACAACAGTTGAGAGGACAACAGATTAACATTGAATTGAAAAATAGTTTTCCATTTGTTGAAGCTAAAGCTGTTCAAGTCGAGAGATATTTTGCTTCGATCTATAGTTGAAATCACCATTCAATACATCAGAAGTGAGTCCGAGATTTTTCATGAAGAATAAAAGTTTGACGTGATATTTTTAGCTGATAAACTGATTTGTTTCCTTTTCAAATTGGATGAAATTGCTAGAAATAGTTCGTCAGACAAACAAAAATTATTCTGAAAATAAAGTTTCTTTATCGATTGATTGACGGTATCATTAATGAATGAGTTTACCAAAACAAACAGCCTTCTTACTCAATAATTCAATATGTTTACATTTGACTGAAATGCAGGGAATTGGTTGCGAGTTTGACATGAACTTTTGAAATTGCTTATCAAACCAAAAGTTCTGTGATGAACAAGATTTATTTATTTGCTTTGAAGGTTATTTTAAATTTTAATTTGCAAGGTAAAAATATTCCATAGTATTGCATGAGAATCAAGAAAAGGGAAAGGTAGAGATTCATCAAAAAATAAATAGCCGACTAATATTGCCGCATGATAGCTTTGGAAATCTCAAGGGTCATTTGTGAGGGAAAATTCAGCTTCGAGAATTTAGATAAGGTGAGAAATGTTCATTGAAAGAATACGTTTCCATTTATTCGACCAATGGATGAACATTTCATTGGATTTTGGTCTTATCGAAATGTCTGCACATTTACACTTCTCTTATCGTTGCACTTCGATTCCGATTTTTTAGCTATTTTATCCTTCGTATGGTCAGAAACATTTCAAAGTGAAAATTTCGTTTCCACTTTTGCACATAATGGAAACTAAACCTTGTTTGTGTGATTCGGTTCGTTGAGTGATGATGGTTTTGTTAGGCTTTCTTTCCCTTTTGATTCATTTTTGAAAGAATTATTTTGATTTTCGATTTACAGGCTTTTAAACACGGACTTTATGGACGAAAATATCAGTGGATTATTGCTGGCGTTTATCGTGACTTTTGGTGGGAAACTGAAGATGAAAGTTCTGATTGTACAAAAGAAGATTTAGTTAAGGCTCTCGATGGTTACATTGCAACAGATGTGCTCACATTGAGCAGCTCTCAAGATGTAACTGTTTCAGGTTTGGTAAGTATTACTTGGACACTTGTCGTTGCAACCGCAAAATCATTTTTATTTTGCTTTTACTCACTTTTTCCAATTGTATTTTTCAATCCATGAAAATTAATGTTGCCATTTTTATTTCCTTAAACAGACTGCTTCACAATATGAAGAAGAGTATAATCTGAAGAGAGATCAAGAATATTCGAGATTCCATGGTTATGCTTATGATGGCATGTGGACCATTGCATTTGCACTGGAAAATGTAATGAAAAAGTTGGCCGAAAGACAACCCGAAATTCATATAGAAGACTTCGATTATAAAAATAGAGGCTCCGTTTTGTGGGCCGATATTTTTCGTGAAGCGCTTAATGAAACTTTTTTCACCGGAGTAACGGTAAGACTTCTCTTCAGAATTTCTTGTTTTCGACTTTGACTTTTATTTGTTGTTCGATATTGGAAAGAAATCGATTTATGATTGTCAAGAAAATTGATCAATCAGATTGACTGAAATTCGAAGATCAGAAATCGAAACATCAATGTTGATAAATGAAAAACTGTTACACTAAGAAGTCGAACTATAAATCTTAATGTTACTCAAGACATCGAATCGAATCAGTTGTGTAACACATTTATCATATTTTACAACAGGCTTTTCACTTGTCATGTGCAATATCAACTTTTAAACTGAAAACTTGATCCAACCTCGAGACTAAAAATTATTCAAGATCAAATAATGAAACCAAATGCTTACTTTGGCCATTTTTTTACTTTTATTTCTAGGGTAATGTAAGCTTCGATGGTAATGAAAGAAGAGGAAGTATTTTGCTCAAACAATTTCAAGGTAAATCTTGTTGAACCACTTTTCACTTCATCTTGAACATTGCCTAATAATCTTGTTCATATTTGCATTCTACACCAAATGGACGAGTAGTCAAGATTGGTGAATATCATTCAACAACCGACGTACTTGATTTAAATGTTGGTGAACCAATTTCATGGCGAGGTGGCGAGGTAATGTAATTTTGTCCTTTTTTCATTTACTTTTATTCCATTGACCAAGTCAAGTGTAGACTGCAATCATCAACTAAATTATTGAATCTTAAGTGAACAGTTTTTCCAGTTTGTAATATCTTTTCAACTGTTGCAGAAGTTTTAAGTAAAATATCAAGAAAGTTATTTATTGAACTTGCAATGTGAAAATGAATGAAACTAATCGTGGTGATTCATTTGATCGACTAACTGAGTTGACAACTTAGAGGAGAAACATTGATTGATTCTCATCATTTCAAGTATTCGTAGTTTTAACGTCTGCAAAGAAAGCAAGAAAAGAAAGAAAAGACAGAAAAAAGTCAATGACTGAAGAAAATCAATTATATTAATACTTCTTGTGATGGCCAATCAACTTGAAATCAAAGAATAGCGAAATCGAGGAATAAAAAAGCGAGTAAAGTTCGCATAATGATGAAAAAAATGAACATCAGAATAAGTGATAAGTATAGAAAATGTAATTTTTTGACGCAAATGTGATGGGAGACAAAGTATTATAAAGGATGAGTTTTGTGTTATATTGAACAATGTGTTACAAAACTATCAAGATTTTGACTAACGAGTTATATTAGGTTGGGATCCATTGAAAAATTGCACCAATTTGTCTGCTTAATATTGAATATTGGGAAGAAAAAATGAGAGAGAAAAATTGAAATACAATTTACAGTGAAATACATGTTTATCATGGACTGAGATTCGAGAGTTGGGAGTAAAATGGGAGGAGAAGGAAATGAGTTCAACTTGACAATGATCTCGATTATTGAAGTGCAAGAAAATAATATTAGTTGTTGCTTCTTCAAGTATTAGACTTATTTTTTCCTCTTTTCGCCATGAACTGATTCCATTATTTTCCATGAAACAATCTAAAATTATTGGAGCTATTAGAGCGGTCTCATGAAGATGACGGAATTTCAATTCTGAATGAACCTCCTTTTAGCTAAATAATGTCACAGAATCTATCATCATAAGCATCGGAAACTTTTGATTCGAACTCAACAGTTCCATAAGAATCGGACTCTCGAAGATCACATGCATTACATGAGTAAAAGTTTACAAGTACAAAGTTCTGCCATTTTCAGTTCGATGCCTTGATGTATTGGCTGACCATTCATCGGTTTAAACACGAAAGAAAAAAAGTGACAAAATCTGTAAAGTGGAAGAAAATTGTGAGACAAAAACTAGAGATCAGTTTTTTTCGATGAAAATATTTGGCAGACACATGAGACTCATGAGACTATCATGATGGTGTTGATAATGATGATGATAACATGGAAAATGTTACATAATACATGATAATATTTCAATCAAAAATGATGATAATGAAGGTAAAGGAAAGAACGAAAAATTGTTTGACAGAATGAGAAATGATTTTTTTTGTTTTGGATGAAAAAAGGTTAGAAATAGGCTGAAAATGTTCGAGATTCATGGTAACATGGAGCAAAAGAAAAGCTAAGAATTTCGAGAGAAAGAGGTGAAAAAAGATCAGAAAAAAATGAAAGGAAAAGGAAAAGAGAAAATGATAGTCAAGTCACGAACTCGATATTCACTTAAGTTGCATTCATTTCTTTTCAACTGATGCTTCTCCTTCTGTATTAGTGTTACATATTTTATCTTTATTTCGTTCTATCATGTTTGCATGTAATAGCATTTATGATGAATGTTGCTTTTTGATGCTTCACTGCTGGACCATATTCAATTGGCAGTAGTTCAATCTTTTTTTTACCTTTTCAGGGTAAAATTTCAATCTTTACTTCTGTTGGTCTTTTCAATAATTCAATTGGCTTGATTGGATTGAGTTCAGGGTCAGAGTTCATTTACATTATTCAATAAGTTTTTACATTATTAGTGTTCATTGTTCAAGAATTGTGTAACTGCATCTAATAATCAGATTAATTTTGCTTGCGAAAGATCATTTCATACATTCAAGTTATATTTGATTTGTTTGAAAGGATGAGAGAAAAATCCAAATCCGATTTTTTGAAACATTATCTGAAAGCTTTTCCATGATCAAATCAGCTTTTCGATTGCACTCAATTCAATAAGAATTTGGAATTTGTAATATTTTCGATCTCTAAATCAGAAGCGTTACAGGATTTTGATTTTTAGAATCTTTATTTTTGCGCGAATAGCTTTTTATAATAAACATTTCAAGGCTTTGTGAAATAAAGTCATCAAAAAATTAATTGTCAAAGCGTGATTGCAGGAAATTCGAGTGAGATACAGTTTTGCAAATGGAAATAGACATTGATGCTGATCTTCTGCCCACTGTTTGGTAACAAGCTGAACTTGAGATTTCATAATGTACAGGGAGCTTTCTTATTCTACGCCTTTATGCAGGCATAACTGACAAATGATTGTTGCTACAGATCTCAGACTTAAACCGTGCGCTTCAAAAGATTGCAAAACCATAAGTTCGGGCGCTCAAGCTCAATCCTTTAATTGACATTTGAAGGTCATGTTAGATGTCGACCAATCTGAAAAATTTTGCCATCTTGGAAAATGATCTTCAGATATCAATTAGAGCTGAAATGCGAAGTAACCTCGAATGTTATTGAGCGTGTTAACTTATAGTTTTTCAATCTGCTAATGGTTCGAATATGACGCCTGCAACATTGACCGTTCGGAAATTACAATTGAAAACTACCGTGAAAGTTAGCTAAATAGCCTGGTATACCGAGCGTTTTTTCATTTTACGCCTTCATTCATGCACAACTCACAAACGGCTAGGGCTACACCCAATCCGTTGAATTCATGTTTAATTGATCAAAAGTAAACATCTTAGAGCTAAACACAAATTCAGATGAACACTTGGTATAAAATGCAGCGAAATCAATACGATAGACTCTTATGGTTGATCACTTCCTGTTTTTAATGCACACCAACATAAATTGAGATATTCAAACTTGGTTAGTTAGGAAATTATTGTTGTGTGTGTGTTGTAACGCTTACTATGCATAAGCTTCTAGTGAGTGATAGTTGGCAGCCGAAGAATTTCCACTGGGTTTTTTTGAAAAGAGTCTAAGTTCATGCCATCGGGCAAAAATAAAACGTATGACTCATTTATCACTAATCACTGATCAGTTAATCAATCGCATTTAGGCAAAATTCATTAATCTTTCCAATGGTAAGAGTTATGCAAGTTGGTTGCAGACAATCCTGCCGTAGTCACCAATTGTTGAGAGGCAATACAAATTAAAAACAAAAACAAGATTATGGGCAAGCAAGTTTTATTGTTAGCTGCAGGAACACACTGCGACTCCTATCTTAAGAGGATTAGGGGTTTTAAGTGAACCAGAGCGAAGGAGTAAACAACGAGTCCTCGTTGGGTACCTTTTGCTATGATTGGTTATTGGCATAACATTCGTTCTACTTCAAAACTGACCCTGGTTTTAGTCGATCATAGTTTCACATTCAAGTGTTAACATAGTTACATTTTATGATATTTACTTAAATTGAATTTGCTAGTTATAAAGAAATGACCACAAATAGTATTGGTACCGAGACGGATTTAGATCCACCAACTGCAAAGTCTCCCGACGGGTATTACGACGTAAAGAAAGTCATTGGTCACCAACAATTGTTCGTGCATGGTAAAAAAAGGAATTGTGTCGCGCTCGCGTATGAGCCAACAATTTGTGATATCCGGGACACAAGGAATTTGGATTTATGTTCCTGCGTTCATTCCAAGGAACGACTCTAATCATCATTATCGAATCATTACATGTAGAGTAAGAGTACAAACCGAGGATAATAAACGACATATTGAGCAACTATAGACTTTGGAACTCTCATCAATTTTTTTGAAGCAGAAAAGTGTTTATGTATTCAATTTGAAACTGACAACAAAAGAAAAGGCTACAATGGAGATCATAGCAAATGAAAACCTTACTCTGGAGGAAAATAAATATAGAAGTCCCGTTTTAAAAATCAATCTAGACACGAAGGACTATAGAATAGGGATGTGCGATTTCCGATTTTCACTAAGATAGATTTTTCCGATCAATTTTCCTCAGAAATCGATCGATTTTCGATTTCCAAAAACACAATCACATCACAAAAAAATTGCCAAAAAATGCTCATTCTTAATTTTTTTAAGACAAAAAAGTATCGGATCTACAAAATTATCTCCAAATATAATGTTTTTAAAGAGATCGATTTTCTCTGGGTTGAGATCGATCAATTTTTGCGTGAGGAAAATCGATCAGATCGATTTTAAAATCGGATCGGAACATCCCTACTATAGAACAACATGTCATGACTTTGACATTGACATGACCTTGCTATAAATTGGATTTTCTATCTGAAAAGATCTTGAAATTTGTCTGAGGTCATAAGGAACGATCACCGACAAACGACCTTGAGACTTTACATTGATGGTTGTTCAATTCTTAAAAGCATATATCCTCGATATCATAAGCCTAGCATGTTTAGTTCATGAGACATTAATCGAAAACGGGAAGTAAATGGGGCTGAATAGCTGTATTATGATTATGAGACCGAAAATCCAACATTTTGGCAATCCTCCTGCAAGCTGACTAGCATTTTTGATTCGTGAGAACGAAACGTGAAGTAAATGAGTTTGAATAGCCTGTACTTACGGAAAGATAACATGATAAAAGACTCATGAGATTACCTAATAGCTCTACAAGTTAAAACACATTTGTCATCATGGTCATGAAAAACGAGATATTTTTGAAGTAAAGTAAAGAAAGACAAGCTATTTGGCAAAACAGAGATTGTTGGAAAGTTAATTTGAAGCCAAACCAGTAAAGGGACTGTTTGCAACTAAAACGTTAATTGTATTGTTTGCCAAGTCCAGTACTTGGCCTTTAGTCAGTGTAAACATTAACTAAGCAGAGGGAAAGAGAAAGAATGAAAAGACAATTTTGATTCTAATTGTAGGTAAATTTTGAGAAGGAAATTGACAAATTGGTAGAGAAGGACACACAATATTTACACTATAATAGTTGAGCATCCAATGTTTTATCGAGTCAAAACTGGATGGAGAAATGGTTGCAATGTTGAGACAAAAAAAACAAGTAGAGTTGCAATGAAAGTTTAATGCAGTGAACCTGGTAAGTAAATAAATATTACTGAAAGAGGTAATAGAGGAAATACAGCTGAATAAGTTTACCAGGTAACTCTATCAATATTGCCTTTCACCATTTGTTGTTTCATTTATTATCATTTCATTTGTTATCATGAAAAAAAGCATGCACCAATATATGTTTACCCAAATATTGAAATATTTTTCTTCCTTCAATTGCATTAAACTGTTATTAAATTAAACTTTGATATTAAACAGGTAAACTATTAGATGATCAAAGAAGTAAAGTTAAGTTTCCAGGACTTAATAGCAAAAGCCTTTACTATTAATTAAATTACTTCAACTTTTTTGGATAATTTTCTTGTAGCAGTTCTTAGTGATTACAATTTATCGATTTTACATTTAATATCATTCATTTCAATTAATTGGTTCGAGTCGAGAAAATATATTAAAAAGTATCGTTAAAACAAAGCTGTGTTAATGATCGAAGTAAGAAAAAAAATTTACTCGAAATGACAATTTATTTGTCGATTTGAAAAGTTCATTTCTTTTGTGAATCTAAGTTTTGAAATGATCGATTCAATATTTAAGTTGGTCGAGTTGGAAATGACTTGAAATGGAAGAATCGCCGAAATCATAAAATGATCTTAACTCTTTTCTTTGTTGTTTTAGGTGGAAGTGGACCTCCTGTGGATGAAATAATTAAAATAACTGTTGCTTCAAGAATTAGCCTTACATTGTTTATTGTGATATCAGTTTTTGCCGTTATGGGTATAATACTTGCCTTGGTCTTCCTTTCAATGAACATTAAATATCGTAAACAAAGGTAAGCTTTTTCAATATTGCGTTTCAACTTTATTGCTAATTGATCGTTTCATTTCTCCTTTTTAGATATATTAAAATGTCCAGTCCATATTTAAATAATTTAATAATAATCGGATGCATATTAACTTATACCAGTGTGATATTATTGGGATTAGACAGTCGCCTTCTGAGTGAAGCCAATTTTCCTTACATTTGTGCTGTAAGTTTACCTATCCAAAATGTTCATACAACTTGGACTTTCAAGTTGAGACTTGATGAGTTTGTATTTAAGCCAAAAAAATATGCATAACTTCACCAAAAAGGCGTTTCGACGTTTTGAAAGTGATTTTATCGAAGACTGCCAATCATAAATTTTTTAATTTAATATTCACAACGCTCTTACAAACCAACCAAGTCTCAACTTTCAACTTAGAAAACAAGTTTTACCAATGTTCTGTGGCTCATCACCAGTCACGAAAAAGTGCGATTAATTCACTTGTTTGATATCGAACTTTATCACTGATCGACAAAATACAGGGCTATTCAGCTAATTGCATGTTGAATGTGAATACATCTGCTCAACATCATTTACCTTCTGAAGCTGACGATTTTTTCTGATAAGATAAATAACTGTGTGACTTTGAGAAAACTTGGCACTTAAACAGTAAAAAGTCATCAGGATCGCCTTTACTCGAGTCGGTTAGTCTTCGGGTTGTGAAGCTATTCACACTCAACTTGTTTCTCATTAGCTGAGCAGCACTGTTTGTACACTTGGAATGTTCAATCGATAGTTACTTTTTAATGTAAATTAGGTAAACTTTTTAATCATCTAAATTTGCATAAAAAAGAGTACAAAGAAATTAATCAATCATCCGAAGCAAGATAAAACTTTATCAATGTTAATTTAAAATGGGTTTTCATTTGTTTTCATTTCTCAATAGGCTCGAGCCTGGGTTTTAATGTCTGGATTTACACTTGCCTTTGGCTCCATGTTTAGCAAAACATGGAGAGTTCATGCAATTTTCACCAACATTAAATTAAATAAAAAGGTATTATGATAACAGAAAGAGTGAAAAAAGAGAATTGCTGATTCCAAAACAATGTTTCACTCCCAAATTGTGTTTATTTTTCCTTTTCTTCATTCAATTCTCTTGGTCAGTTGTAACCAATTGGCCAATGGAAAAATTTTTTTTGCCCAAACCGAAAATTGAAACATTGCCATTTGCAATTTTCAACTAATCAATGTTGAACAATCAAGCCTCACCTTTTCTCCCATCACAGGGAGTGCAAATATTATCATGAAATTGTAATTCTTATATTGATCAAGAAAAGCTCAACAGAAAAGCTCAATACATGATAATAATGATGAAAATGTTATCCAACAGTTTCTCCAGAGGATTAACCTTTTCTTGATTAAAAAGACGCCTTAAGTTGAAAGTAAATGAAAGTCTTTACCTAATAATGTTTAACAGGCTTTAAAGAAGGTTCACAACTTTTGCCATTTTTTTTCTTTCTTTTCTTTTCCTTTTCACCTCAATTTACTGTTCATTGTTCATTACATCAACAATTTTACCAGGACTTTAATTGAATGCAGAAAAGATGAGTTTCAATGAGAATAGAAAAGTGTTATTACTTCTTTTTTTTTCGTTGTTTGCGGTTAAACAGATTAACTTGAGTTGCTTCAGAAGCTTTACCTTTCAATTTTTCATTCATTTTTCAAATGATTCATTAGCTTGCCCATTAAAGTCGAGGAAAAAAAGACTTTAACAGAATTTTCTTTTTTCCATTCAACTTGCCTTCTCCAGGTTATTAAAGATTATAAACTATTTATGGTTGTTGGAATACTTGTATTCATTGATGTTGCCACTTTGACCACTTGGCAAATTGTTGACCCTTTTTACCGGGGAACTCATCAAGGTATCCCAAAGGTGAGTTGAAACTCGTTTTTTACGAAAATTTAATGTTTCAATTTTCTTTTTCTCGTTGAATAATTTATTGAAGAAAATATCTTTCTTGGGCTTAATAGTATTTCAAGGATTTTAGGCTAATCTTAGATTTGCGATCTGAAGCTTTTTGGGTTTTTCGAGCGGAAAAGAGTTGAAAAGTCGAGTTTGTTTGCGTTTGTTTGGGTTGTGTTTAGCTTTTATTGATTTGTTTTTTTGTATTCAATTGAATTATAATATAAATGAATAATGAATTTTTGCGTAAATAATTGATGGTAAGACGATGAAAATTATCATTGTTGGTTATAAGTTTCAAGTCATTTATCATAACTTTATGTAAGATATTAATATTTATCAGTTTCATTTTATTCTGTTTCTTGTAACAATCATTGTTCATGTTTCTGATGATTTGATATGCAGAAAAGGGAGAAGGATGAAGAATAAGACAAAATGGAAAATATTGTTTTCCAGAGAAAAATCTAATTTATTGTTGTTCTTTTCAGCCTTCCCCTGAAAATGAAGATGTCCATATTGTTCCGCAAATGGAGTTTTGTGATAGTAAAAAGATGACAATTTTTCTAGGCTCAATCTATGTTTATAAAGGACTTTTAATGGTAAGTCAACTATTTAAGGTCATTTCGTGAAATTAAATTCAATCGACTGAAAAAGAGGCAAAATGGAAATCTTAATTAATCCTAAATCGAACCTAACTTTGGAAGAAATTTTTTTTAAAAAGTCGAGAAGAAATAGCAGCAAAAATCTTCAAAGGTCGATAAGTGAGCTTTTTGGCCTTTAAAAAGTGTCTTGTCGATTTTCAAGAGATTTTTCAGAATGGAATGCATTTTTAGGAAAAGGACAAATTTTTGCGATCTTTTGGTTGATGGAGTTGATGGAAATTGATAGATTTTCGTCTTTTGTGTGTGCTTTCAGGCTTTCGGATGTTTTTTGGCCTGGGAAACTCGGCATGTATCCATTCCAGCGCTCAACGATTCCAAGTATATTGGAATGTCGGTTTACAATGTTGTCATTATGTGCGTTATCGGAGCTGGACTTTCATTTGTTTTAAAGGAACAACAAGACGCTGCCTTTGTTATCATTTCCATTTTCATCATCTTCTGTTCAACTGCCACCCTTTGCCTAGTATTTGTACCCAAGGTAAGACTGGTAAGATATCAACTTTCTTTTTCAAAGATTACATTATCAATGTCGAAGTCTTTATTAGCTGCAAAATAAACCTAAACAAGCACACAGGGAAGCTTATAAGCAAACGATATTTTTCACAGAACATTCAATCCAGGAAACAAAGCCACAAGATAAAAATAGAAGTAAAACAAAAATCGAAACAGACAAATCCATTTGAAATTGAAATTCTTATCCAAACCAATTCAAAAATAGACTCAAACTAAACTGACCAACCCACAGATAATCATAATTTTAATTGGAAACGCAGATTCAGCAATTCTTGTCCAAATCCAATTATAAAAAAACATGTTCCATGAAGTAGTGAAAACAGCAAAAAAATTGAGAAACTAGACAAAACAAAAATCCATTCAATAAGCTCAATGAGACAAAAGCACAAAAAAATTTGAATTTCACCAGTCTTTCCATCTTCCATGCTCAACCTTCGCTTCAAACAGTAGCTTCACTAAAATGATTAGCAATTGCTTTACGCTTACCCTGGCTGCTTATCAAAAGAGAATTGAGATGAAATTATTTTTACTTCATTTTTGTTCTTTTTCTCCATCTATTTACTTTCTTCACTATTTCTTTATTGTCGTTGTCTTTATCATTAAAAGTTATTGTCAATATAATGTTATCTGAATCTTTGAACTGGAAAATGCACTAAAAACGAAAACCTCTTCAACCTTTAATCCCATCTTTACTGCATGGCTTTACCCTTTACAACCCTCATCCAAAAACACTGATCACTGTACAACCAACTGACCCATGTTTGTCTGTGTCCAAGTAAAAAGCAACATTCCCAGCAAACAAAAAATCTCAATGAGAAAACTCAGTCTAAGAACCTAACTGAATCACAAAATCCTCATCATAATCATTACAATTTACTATATTAATATCTCTTTCCACTTTTTTTCCATTCCATTCTCATGGCCATTTCTGTTTCAATTCTGACGCCATTTCATGTTTCATTTGGTTGACACTAAACATGAACCTTTTCTGTTCACTTGCCAGTTGATTGAATTGAAGCGTAATCCTGACATGGATGAAAGGCGATCTCGGCCAACATTGAAACCCTTGAAGAAATCGCGAAAAGAATCGGATGAAATGGAACTTCATCAGAGAATCAAAGTTCTAACAGAATTTAATACACGTCAACGGCAAAGATTAAAAGAGGTAATCAACCGCAGAACTTCATTGTCCCCATGTTTCATCCATCATCTTTTATCGCAACAAAAAGCTGTGAGAAACAAAAGTCTCTTCTCGATGAAAGAAATTAAAAAATGAAAAATAATTATCATGAAACATTTTTCTCCATTCATTCATTTTCACTTCAATATTAATAAATTATCATTACAAGCTCTTTGTCTTCATCTGTCCTGCTGAGTTATAATATCATTTTTACCTCCTGTTAAGTCGAGCAATATCAATGTTGGAGAAAAAAGAAAATAAGAAAAATCTTTTTACCTGAACTCTAAATCAAATGAATTTTACCCTTTTATTGCATTTCTTTTCAACCCAAAAATTCCATTACATTTTCATATCATGTTTACATTATTCATCTGAATCTTGTTTTCATTTCTCTTCCTTCTTACATTGCAATCATTTGGAAATAATTTCTTCATTTTCGTCTTTTTTTCTTCTTTTTTCGTCTGCAACATTTCCACTGAAACAGAAAACTTTTGAATTGGAAGCTTTGATGTTTAGACTGAGACAGTATGGCATTGAAATGGGAACCACAAATGAAGACATTATTAAACCCAAAGAGTTGCTCAAACCAGCTTCACTGGCAGCAAAAACAACTGCAATTGCATCCATTTCATCAAAGCAAAATCTTTTACCTGAGAAGCAAATTTGCCTTTTAATAACTGAAAAGGATTCATCAACTTTGACAAAAAGGTAAATCTAAAGTTTCTATTTTTTAAGATTAATGTTGATTCCTTAATGGCTTGAAGGATTATTGGAGACATTTGCATTAAAGCTTTTCAATTATTCAACAAAAAGTTCAATTAATTTTGCGAGAAAAAAGATTCGACAAAAAATCGACTTTAAATGTTCATTTTTTGTCACTTTATTTCGAGCGAAAAAAAATCTTTAATCATCGATTTCAGAGTAATCAAGTAATTAGATAATTAGTGGAGAAAAATTATAGAAAAGAATTTTCATTAATTTCGATTTTTTCGTTTTGCGCAGTGAAAAAGACACTTCGTTCATCTCATTGACGGCTTCAATGTCTTTGGTTGGATCAGTCGATGAACTTGTTGCCCGAAAGTCGCACACTTCATGTCCAGAATTGCCGAAAGTCGATGAACCAAATGGAACGAATGGTTCGACTGGTGGTTCAGGTAACGGGGCCAATGGTGTCACTCGTCGAAAACCGCCTCCTATCGAGTCTAAATTTACTTCCATGAAGAATATCGATGATTACAATCGATTGCCTAAACCATCAACTTCATCGACACCAAGTGATTTGGTGAAGGAAGATTACAGTTCTCACGAGTTTTCCGATGATGCAGTTGCAGATGATGATGCTGTCGAAGAGGATGAAGATGAAGATGATAAATGTAAAGGTGAAGTGAAAGTAAAGGATGAAAAGTTTCGAAGTGAGAATGGCACCAAGTGCAAGGTACAAGATAAAGATAATGATCGAGGTATAATTTTAAAAGCAAATGCTGATGGGATTGTACCATGTTTACCTGTTAGCCAGTGCAAGTCAATAAAACCATCAACACTGGGCAACCTTAATGGCACCAACAATAGTAAAGTAATTGTCTCATTAACATCAGCAACTTGTGGACCCAGTTTTATATGCGATGAAACCTCTTATTCAATGGCAATCAAGGCTTCCCTTAACGATGCCAACAATAATAATCAAGCTTATAATGGCTTCTGTTCATCATGTGAAGAAGATGATACAGAAAAAGGTGATCAAACAGCAACCCTGTCTGAAGGTAATGACTTTTCTTGTTTTTTTTCGAGTTCTTTTTGTTCTCATTCTTCTTTTTCATTTCATTTTGTAGAAAGTGATCAATCCTTGAAGCCCGACTTTAATCCTCGTCGAACTCAAAGCCTTTCAGCAATAACTTATAGACCAAAGACAAGTGGACCTGGTAGACCGGGACAGCCTAATGTGAGCCTAGTTGACAATGGAACCGTCAGCTTGAGCAAAGGAACCTTGCTGGTTCACCCAATTTTCCCGTTTCTCAGTCAAATGACTCGTAGTAATGTCAGCCAATCCACATCAAATGCCAACTCAAACTGTCAAAATATTGTCCCTTATTGGCCAATATTTTCTTCATATCCATCAATCAAGTGCGATATTGTTGAATATTTATAGCTGCAACTTGGGAGGAAAAAAGGAATGGCAACATTTATTCAAATGCCCAGTTAATCTCGTTACTCAACATTTCCATGCTTTTCCACCAAAACTATCTCAATAACGGTCAACCCGCGATAAGCATTGCAATCGTGGTCGAACAAAATTTGAATAGCGTCATTGCCGTAATCATTAGGCTATTGTGACGAGTTTTCAGGTGGAAAAAGGCACAGTGTGACTAGAATCTAAGCTTCCAAGGTCCAAAGAAGATTACACCTGATTCTGATTGTCAATTTTCTGTCTTCATTTTGTATTGCAAATCAACTCTTAAGTGTTAGAGATTCTTGCAACTGTTTGTTTGCAGATCAAAAGTCAACTTACAATCAATACCAAATCAATAATGCATTTCGATCAGCAAACAAAGTTGACTTTCGACTTCATTGCAAATTTCAAACAGAAACTGACTAGAAATTGAGTTGAATCTAAAGAACCCTGGGAAAATTCACAATAATAATGTAAATAATGAATGATAACGAAAACGCCAAATTAAGCTGTCGAACTTATTGAATGAGAAATTTTGAAATCTCGCAACTTGAAGAACTTTCAACAATCAATTTCCATTGCGATGTGTTTTGGCAAAGCTTACTGAAAACTGCTCACCTCTCAAGCTACAACTGACCAAGAATAATTTTTCGTTCTTTCTCTTCGAATCATTTTGGAATGTAATCTTTACCATTTCAAGAGGCTTCATTTTAAAAGGCGATTCAAACCCTTTTTTGGCACATTATGACAATCATTCAAGACTGAAAAATTTTTTGCGTCCAGAGTCTGAAAGATTATCAATGAAATGGTTGTAAAGTGAATTTTAAACACTTAAATTGCTCAACAGAAAAGGAACCAAATCGAATCGATTGAATCCTTGAGGCAATAATTTTTGAATCCAATTCAATGTTGAATCTACTTGCTAATTGGTCAAATTCAGATTACTGAGAATGTCAACATGTCAAGACCATTTGTAAAGCCATTTCAGGGCAACAAACATAATCTGTGATTTTGTACAATTTTCATGTAAAATATTTGTTAACTTATTCGACTTTTCATTTCAATCAATTTTTACAACTGTTACTCATTGGTATCACTGAGGTAAATCAACTTTTACAAACCCAAACTAATCAAAACTGAGAAAACTAATTGAACAACATTTCAATGGAAACAGTTTTTTTCTTTGTTTTTCAACAATTTGCTCATTCTGTTTTCAAAAACAGTGCAAGTTTCAAATGTAATTATAAGATAATTGAATTCGCTCATCAACACCCTTTATCAAATGTTCACTTTGGTTCATCTAAAGGAAACTTTTCTTTTCCCTTCATCCAAAATGCATTCTCGCAACTGACCAAACTGATCAAAACTCGTGAACAATCAAATAGCCAGGAATGTTGTAAAATATACCAAAACAATACTTTTCACTTTTTAGGGAAAAAATGTTTTCGTTTCAAATTAACTGCCAAAAACTGTTAGGAATAATAAAATTGTATATAAAATGAAATGACAATTAACCAATCAAATGTGACAATATTGCGTAGTTGTAATAATTTAAAATGTTGAACAAAATGTAATATTTCGTTTTTATATTCAATTCAAGCTCAAATTGAGTTTCAATCTCTTTCCTTTCTATCAATATAAATAAAATGAACTTTCGAAATTTCAATTTCCATAATTCTTTTTCGGAACTACAAAAGTTTTCGTCAACGATTACAAGACGAAAAGTTGAGAGAAAAAAGAAAAATTGAATTTTACAAAATTGACCAAAATAATGGTCGTTTTTTCAGAAAACCAAGAAATTCAGAATTCGTCCGCAATCGAATCACCAAGATTTTTCGTGAGCAATTTTAAAACATAAAGTTCGAAGAAAGGAAATATTATAAATATAATAAATCAAATTCTTAAAATTGAAAAAAAGAAAATCAGAAATATGCAGTTTTTCCGAATCTCGAATTTTTAGTCAGGTGAGTCATTTCAGGTGAGTGTACGAATTTATCAAAGAAAATTTTGATGAAAAAAAGAAATCGAAAATTGATGCTTTGAATGCTGGAATATAGATGGCGCCAGCAAACACAGCCTTTGAACTTGTTTGTTGGGCCTTTATTTTAACATTGGAGAAGCGCAAGAAAAATAAAAAAAAGTTTATCTTTGGCAACAGTTCATTTGGCTTCGAGTTTACATGTTGTTCTTGTTGTTATTCTTGTTCATCTTGATCATCAATATCATAACCTTTCCTTGAAAAATTTCATACCCAAAGTTTTATTCATACGCATAAAAATATCGACAAGGAAAAAGCGCTTCTCCAGACAAAAAAAAACTAAACAAGTTGCAAATGATCCTTGGTTAAGAATCTTTCTTGATCTTTGTTGCCATCACCTCGATTCTTGTAAAAGGAAGAAACAAAGTGTGGAAAAGGGGAAAAATTGTTTAAAATCAAGCAAAGATTAACACTTTTTTGCTCAATTGAACTTACTCGAGCATCAAGCCTGAGTAAACAACAATATCATTGATTTTTGTGGTGAACAGTAAAAGTGAAGTGAAGAGAATCCAGAGGAGAAAAAAAAGATTAACATTTCAAAGGATTAATTCATTTTGTTTTTGTTTTCAGTGTTGATCCAAATCTTTATTTTTGGTGTTTTGTTCATTTTTGTGTTTCTTTTTCAAATTATTTTTGTACGATTTCACCATTCAATATCAACAGTTGGCTTTGAAAGACGAAGAAAAAAAAGATTGGTGACAATTTGGATTATCAACTTTTCTTTTCAGCTTTACCTGTCAAATCTGGTTCATTTGAAAAGAATCTCTTCTCATGAATAACTATTTTATCAAAAAACAGAATATTTATCAAATAGAAATTTAGATTTTCAACTCGGGCGATTCGATAGAAATGGGTTCCCGCGCCTTCAATCAGGATATCGATCCATTTTTTCCTCTCATTTTCGCTGTTGCCGATTTCACCCAACAACTATCAGTTATTCATGAGCGGCACGCAGACGATTTACAGATACTTGTTGAAGCATTCAGAAAACGAAATGCCGATTTGCGCAAAGAAAGGTAAGTCTGACTCTCGAGCGGTCAAAGTAAACATTTGTAAGCAAATTCCTCTCCAAGTTGATATGTTTATTAGCATAAACTGATAGGAAGCGAGTAAAAGTCAATTTTAATGTCGATCAATGGTAGTTAAACACTTTTTGATCGAGTTTATTTTGCACTTAACTTTTTGTTGCCACAAGGTTGCGTCTTTGTTTTTTAATAAAAGCACTTTAAGATGACTTTTTGTAGCCAAGTTTGTGATTGAAAAGTGATAACCATTGAGATGAGTCGATGGCAATTGAAACTGTTTATTGGATCATTTATCAAACCAATCATCCTTTCCTTTCAAATATTGTTTATTTTTTACCTCTAATCATGATCATGATTCCGAGTGTACTTTGAGTCACACTTTATTGAACTTGATAACAGATTTTCACTTTCAATGCAAAATTGAGTCGATAATGTTGATCTTTGATCGAGTCAAACATCTGTAGTTTTGATTGCCTAAGTGAACCTTTTAATCAAACAAATGAAATGTTTATTAAGATGAAATCAACCTTGACTTTTAAGGTTAACTTGATGATTAAATACCGGAAACTTTTAAGCTTGTGTTTACTTTATTATTTAGCTTGTAACAAAATAATCTGATAATGAGAATTAAACTTTGCGTCAGTGAAGGTAAACATTGCAATTGAAAATTTAGTCCATTAAAGGTTGACTCACAAGTAGAGTTGAGGTTTAATCAAAAATGATTAGTAAGAGTAAATTTAGTGTAAATAAAACTTGGTGGATAAATTGTTGGACTAATTATTCGGTAACCAGATTAGTTAGAAATAGATTTTGATAGATTTAATGGAGTACTAATGATACACCATAACTTGCTGGTTTTGTTATTTTTATTGCATCTTGTGAACGAAATCGAACAAAATAATGTTTGTCAAGTTTTTCGAGTTTGGAAGCTTTTCGTTGCTTGATGCGATTCTTCCAAACTTTTGTTTTTCGCTCGGTGTCTCAGTCAGAATCTTATCCATCTGTTATTGAGTGTTAGTGTTTTGCTGATGTTTTTTATTACATAAAAGGATCTTTTCTGTCGATGAAGCTCGATACATCAAGTCGAGTATTCGATGTGTAAAAAGTAGCTAGATGCTTTATATTGAGATATCAATTTTCAGTTATTTCTAAAGTGACAGGGAGTTACTTGCAGCAAAAGTGCATTCCTTGATTATACTCATAAAAGAAATGTTATCACTTAAAATATATTCTTTCAATTAGTATCACGAAGGTTCAGTTATCTTGACAATTGTCCTTAACAGTAAAACTCCTTTAATGCCCATTTCAAGAACAATTCATAAAATCTTTTTTATTCAGATTACATTCCAATGTTATGTCCAATAAAAATATTAATAACACCAACTGCAGCATCCTTTTGAGTGAAGGAAAATTGAATATAGCATTGCAATACCATTTAGTATTCATCTAAAAAATGAAATCAGTCGAAGTTTCTTGAACAGAACTCTGAGCAACAAGAAAAGCAAATTAAATATTTAAAAATGGGAAAGAACGATTTCTTACTCAAATCTAAACCAAGCATCATAATGAATGATGAAAGTTGTTTTCCTCCCAATCGTTCAGTGAGTTATTATAATAATATAATTCAGTTGACTGCAGTTAGCGCGACATATGACGCCTTTTGTCGCAAAGAAATAACATGACCCAGTGATGCAAGTTGAACTTTGCAGGGATGAATAACATAAGCTTTTAGTAAACAGACTACAAACCTACAGTAAACGAAATGTTCATTAAAGGGTGAACCAAAAGTAGGGACACAAAATTTGAAACTGGATTTCTTGGTTAATATTTATCGTATTTATTTCATCTTAAGATATTTTGTAGACTAGAACTCGGACAATAAGATGATTATTTTATTTTTGTTGGGCGACATTCTCAAAAAATTTTACGTAATTTTTGATTCATGCTTACTGTTAAAGTTTTGCCGCAGCTTTAGATGATTTTTTTATGGTTATTTTTCACAGATTTTTTTAAATAAAATAAATTTTAGATAGATTTCATCTTGAAGAGCATTCTTAGCTACATCAAAAGCAGAATTTTCAAAACGGAAGAGCACCGGGCAAGTTTTTCCCTGAAATTTTCTCTCTTTCTGTGGAATTTTTTTCATCTTCAACATAGGGAATGGCAAACTCGTAAATAAAAAATTAATTTTCAACACGAATACTGATCATATTTTTTCATAAAAATTCAATATTTTGATATTGAATTGAAGCTAGAAAATTTCTCTATCAGTTTATGCTCTTTAATTGTTTCAGGGCATAATAGTTTTTCTAACAATCCGCTTAAAATTGTTGTGTCCCTACTTTTGGTTCACCCTTTAGAATCAAATCAATTCAATAAAGACAGAAACAGACGCCCATCGAGAAACTGCACATTTAGTGATCATGAAAATGATTCAATGAGTCTATTTCATTCACAAAATTGTAAATCAATAAAATGTTTCATTAAAATTAAAGCAAATTAATGTTGAAATGCGTTTTCTAATTGAAATTGTAAATCTAAATGACTGAATACAAATGAATACGCAGTTGACCAGTAAACTTGACCTTTCACGGCTTACTCTTGAACCCAGTAAATCTCAAAGCTACTCTCGACATTTCATTCTCTCTTTCAATTTTCCATTTCTAATTAACCAACTTAACCTTTGCTCTTTACCTTAATCCTTTTTTTATCTTCTTACCTTCTGTTGACTTGAAAACCATTTTTGATTGATAACATTTTGTAAATACAGTTCAACATTGACATTGATCAATGAGCAACCCGAGCTAATTGAGAAGCTCAACCTTACAACCTCGAGTTCAATTTAAAAAGTAAAACTTGACCAAGTCAATTATCTTTCCAAGTAACAGGCAAAATGGCAAGAAAAAAGTCGATCTCCTTACCTTTTCTTACTTCACCACTCAATGGACCCTAAACTTGATCCACTCCCATTACATTTACCTTTTCCACTCTTGAACGAGTTTCAATTATTTATTCATTGATATCTGTATTTGGTTAACCAGACAAGCTGGAGAAGTAAAAAATTTTGAATCAAAAAATGTTGCCCATGAAACCATGAAAGTTATTAAATATAAACTAAACCTTTATTCAAGTCTACCTCAAGTCTATTAACAAAAAACATTTCCAAAATACTTTTCCATTTTCCATTCACCAAAACGAATAGACAAAAAATGTTCAACTCCCAGTCCTAACGATCCTCAACGAAATCATTCTTTACTCTTTCCTCACATGATGAACATTTTCATCATTTCCATCATTTTCCGAATCTTCTTCTTCTTTTCCTTCTTCATCTGTTTCTTATCATTTTTGATATCCTAATATATTATTGGTTGAGTTAAATTTGTTGTGACTTGAAAGGCTCCAGAGATTCAGTGATGAGCTCACCTCAAATGAATGAATCAAATATCATGATTATCTTTAACCAAACCTAAAATGAGAATCTTGATAATGGGCTGAAAGGATGAAGATGAAAGTGAAAAAAGGTGAAGAAAATGAGAGTTAAAAGAAGATGAATTTTTGGTGTAAAGAATATTTTCCCTTTTATCAAATAGTATAATACAAATTATTAATAATAAATGATAACAAATGCTGTAAATAGGTCAGAATATCATCTTGCAGGAGAAAAGCTTTTCCATTGTTATTCAGTTAAGTAGACATTATTGATAACAATATTTACCTGTTGTTAGACCTTTAATCAAACCCCATTTGTCCTCGAATTTTGCGATATTTCGATAATCTCTTGCTCTTGATAATCGGAGTCGAGTTGAAATTTTCGAGGGAAAATATTTTTTTCTATTCAAATTTTTCCATGTTCATTTTGTCGTTTCAAGAAGAGCAACTTTTGGCTCAATTATTTTCTCATCGTTTCCTTGGCAAGTTTACAAGATTACAGTCAAGGTAGTCTCAGTCCTTGAGTTTCATTGTTCAATTGGATTCTTTAATTGGGTTGAAAATGTTGAGCAAGAAAATTCTGTTTTCTTTTTCCATGATAATGATGATAAAGGAATTCAAGTTTACAAAGGAAAACAAAAATATGGTTAAACAAATTGGTTGAGATGCAAAGAGTCAACATATTACCTTTGAATGTTTCCTGTGAAATGATAAGTTTACTAAACTTGCATTTTCAAAGTAAAATTATCTTCGAGTTTGGCTTTTTTATTTTTCTTAATTTGATTACATTTTCAATTTGGTTATAAAATTGGTTCTAAAGCTTTTTTGGCTTGAAAACTAAACTTTGCTTCTTTTGTAAACTTGAGATTAACTCGAGGTGCAAGTGATAAAATGATGAGTTCGCTTATTGAACAATCTTGATTGAAACCTGTTTGAATGCTTTTACTCATTTTATATGTATGGTTAACCAACGGTAACAATGTAGCATTTGTTTATCAAACAAGTTCACAGTTTATATTGGCTTCGAGTGTTTGCACTGGAAAAGTGGGAAAAAGATATTAATGAAAAAACCCTGTGAGATGCACATGTATTTTCAGTTGACTGGCAAAGTGAAATTGGGTTAAACATATGCCATTGCAGTGGCAACCAGAAGAGATTCAACTTGTTGCCAATTGATTTAATTGGCCATTAAATTGAATCCTTTTTTCGAACAGTTGGCGAACAATTAGAAGGCTTTAGTCATTACAATCTAACTCTGCTTTTTGATTCGATTCCACTTGATAGCGAGACTGAAAATATTGGTAAAGGTCTCAAAAATCTAACCTGAAACAGAAAATTTGAGTAACTTTTGAACTCGAAAATTGCGTTTGCAAACACTGATTGTCCAATCTATTGCTTAGCTCATTCTACTTTTAATTCGTAGAATCAGGTTCTGCCAAAAAACAAAGTTTGCGAAAATCGAAACTCGGAAACAATAAAAAAATCAAAATCTTTTTTACCGATTCGATCGGCTATGTCCAAGTGCATTTGTCATGATACTGTCAAGACTTGCTAAGAAGCATTTTTAAGACTCGAATGCTTTTGAATGTTCTACTTTCGCATTTAGAGAGAAAATTGCAATTTTCTTTTCGATATTAAATTTGCAGTTTTTTTTCGAATTTTGTTCAGCGCTTGAACTAAGCTTTTATTCACTTGTTTTTTAATTTCTATTTCAGATCATCATTTCCTTCTGCCTTATTCACTCTCTGGGAACTTTTATTGCAAGAAGTTGAAGTTGACTCGCAAATTCACGGTGACATGTCAAGATGCCTGAGTCGCAACCTTGGAACCGGATTAAAAGAGAAAACCTTTCATCGAAAATTTCAATCGCGCAAAGTTTTCATTCATCGAGCAAGTCTGGACGCATTACTGGGGAAAGCCGAAGATTTGTTGAAAAAGGTTTGTAAACAATCATTTTGTTACTTTACTCTTTCCACCTTTTACCTAACAAACCTTACCTTGAACAAATAATGAAATGAAAACGATTCTCATAATTGGCAGTAAAAAATAACAACTAAAGTATCACATTAACCCATTGCCAGCATTCATCTATTGTGCGTTTCTTCATTCGCTTGGAATCATTATCATCCAATTGCATTTACTTTTATAAAAATAATTTTCTCAAACATCATTTGCATACATTTAAATATAAAATTTGCCCTTCATTTGCATTGACACCTCAAGTTGTTGAGCTTAGACTCTTCATTTCTTCTCACTTTGATTACTTAATTATTCAAAGTTAAAAATTACATGCAATTATCCATTGAACATTATCGACTATCAAAAGTTTTCTCGTTTCTTGTCTTTCACTTGCAATTGAATTACAGCAAGAGTTGCAAGTGATTTTCTTTGAAATTTTGTATTCAGTTATTTCATGACGATCTGGAAGGTTCAACACTTGCATTTGTTCCGAGTGTTGACAATCAATTGTAATTGATCCTTTACTCGTTTTGATGTGTACAAATCAATTTGTTTAATCCAACAATTTTTACTTCTCAAGCAATGGAGGATTCAGTTTGTTCAACAGTTCAATCATGTTCAACTTTTCCTTTCAGATTGAAATTGACATGAATTTAGTCTCATTCAATTTCTTATGGATTGAGGGATTTCAATCACTGAAGCCAAGCATCAATTTCAGAAACGTGAAATTAGAAAAAGATTTGTAAAGAAAACTGAAATGGAACATTTACGAAATGAAATTTCAACAAGAAGGCATTTTCATAACTAGATAACTTTACTTATCCATCTTGATGCCTTCAACACAATCTTTATAGAGTTTAAGGACAATCTGTGGTTCATTTTACATGCCTTTTCCATGATAAACTCGGACTTTGAAATTGCTCAACTCAGGATTGAATTCACTAATCGAACCAAAATTTCGATGTAGTTTTCGATTTGCAGGATTTTCACATTTTTATGAATTTTGTGAATGAACCAAGTCTCACAGTCGAGAAAACTTAGAAACTCAACAATTTGAAATCCATCCAAGGTCTGTCATTTTGGAAAATCTGATGCATGAAATGACACGAAATTCAACATTTTGAAGCTTTGTGATAAAATCATTTCTCACTACAATTTGTTGATCTGACAGAGCATTGAAATTGTACATGATAGAAACAACAACTTCATGATGAAGCAAGCATTGAAGAAGGATCAGTTCGATTCACAGTTGAAAGTTCAATTCTGATTAGAGAATCAATTTAATCAAGTCTGTAGAAAAGTTGATCAGAAAATTCGATTGATTTTTCGCTGTTGGACTTATCGACAAATGGATAAAATCGTTATTCAATTAGATTAATCATTTGATTCAACAATTACTTTTGGAAACTCACTTTACTCAACATTCATTGGATCAATTTTGGCGTCTTGTTCAGTCACCAGGATTGATTAACTAAAGTTGGTTACAAGAGCAACAAAAGGTTACATTCAAATGCATGTAAAACCAATTCTCAAGTTGATCTTAAATCTCAAATGGTAACTTGCATGAATCAAGATTAACCTGGATCAACATTAATTTAATCAACTTTTTCAATAAACTTGCTAACATTGTGTTGCCATTAAGCTCGAGAAACTTGGCCACAGGTTGACTAATAAATTGTTACATTTAATGATTATTGGTTTCATTTTCCTTGATTCATCAACTTGCAATCAAATTAAATGGTCAACTCTATCACGTTACGCTTTCGATCAACTTAACCTTTCCAAAGGCATTAACAGGGAAACAGGAAAAAAAAGAGTTTAATCCATCATTTTGTCTTTTCTTGTTGAACAACACCTTTTTTTAGCCACAATACAAATCAATAACATTAACAACAATCAATGCAATTTGTGGCTTTATGTTTGCTCAAAGGTGAAAAGAAAAAAATTTCAATTCCATTTTAGTTCCATTAATTTAATCTCATTTAAAGTTTTAAAGTAAACAGTTCTGGTGAAGAGAAAAAGGAAAAACATTCAATTCTTTTATCTGATCATTCCTTTTATCCAACCACTCAACTTGCCTGTCAACTTGTGGATTACGATTCAAACCTTTCAACTGATTTACTCGACACCATTTGAATGGATAATGTTGACTTGGAAAAGTCTTTCTGCTTGGAATGAGAAAGGAAATGAAAAAGGTGTAAATATATACAGAATTCAAGTTTAACCATAGATGTTGATAACAGGGAATTGATGAGCAAAAGAGTGAGAATGTTGATGATAATGGAATGATAAACTATGGCGGTCATCATTTTTTTTTCTTCTTCTTTTCATTTCATTCTTTTCATGGTTTTACTATTCTTTGTCATGAGATGGACTTGCAATGAAAAAAAAGAGTCCAATTGAATAGAGGAAAAGATGTGATGCTAAAAAGTGACATAAAAAATGGCAAAATGGTTCCATAAGTGATGAGTAAGTTGTTAATGTAGAGAAAATTGTTGGACTATTATGGCCTGTATAATAAATATAATTATAATAATGATAATGAATTGATCGATATGACATTGATATGGATTATGTTTATATGGTTATGGATGAACGATCTGATCAACTGCTTGATAACCCTGGTTCAAGTTAATAGACCGTTATATTTAGGTTGAAGGTTTTCCCTTTCAATCCACATTTGCTGGTGCGCTGACAACAGTTTACTTTATTCTTGACCAATGTAATTATATTTTATCATTAGACAGTTAATTAACAGAATATTTCACTGTACAAATTATTATTGAAACTGGGCTTTCAGTTAATTTCATCACATGCTGTGTTCATCTGCCCAGATAATCAGATAATGCACATAACGGAATAATGCAATTTGCAAAATTAGAGTTCGTTTTTTAATCATTTCAGTTTAAGAAACCAAATGTGCTTGTTGTTGTACGATTGGCATTTTATTAATGAATATAATTACTAGACTCAAATATTGTGCATTCAAGAGTCCAAGAAAAGTCACTAAAGACTAATGATTTTGGATAAAAAAATCCAAAGGAATGGAAAGAGTTTTGAGACTTGAACGAAGAGCGAGACCATCGTTGTAAAGTTTTACTAAATAAAAAGTTATTGGAAATGAATATTGCTCATTACTAATGTTATGGATCACAACTTTTAAAACTCGGTGGTTTAAATGTGTTAATTATTTCAGTACACAATGCTCTGCTACTGCAAGTATACTATGAAATGTAAGGTAATAGAGCATCACAAAGTAGTAAATCTGTGATCAATCGCAAAGACGAACATTACTTTTATTCGGCAGAATTAAGTTGAGTTGAGTTGCTCATCGAACTAACTAATTAATACAAGATAATTACACATATTAATACAATACAATACTAACTCAAATACTATGCAACGATGCAGAAGAAGAGAATCGAAACTAAGAGGAAAAGCTGAGGAACAATTGTTATTAATAATTAGACCCTTGACTATGGACAGAGTAAACCCTTTACTTAGCTATGAAAGAGTGATATGAGCGAACAGAGAAACGGAAAGAAACTTTTGAGATTCTTTGACATTCTGTTCACTTGCTCAAGACCTTCTTCGAGATGAATTTACTCTAATTGCTTAGGACATGTCCTTCCAACTCACCAATTCACAGTCAAAGTACTGCAAACGAATCGGAAATTTACTTTGTGTCTCTTTCATATTGATCTAGCACAATATCGTCTATTTATGACGAAATCTTGAGTAGAGGTCGTTGATAAGCAAAATAAGTAAGATTTAATTTCCGCAGCAGAACTTAATTGAAGCTCAAACAGATTAAAAATTATATCAATCTTTCTATTCTTTCCGCTCAATTTTTCTCTAGCCATAAACTAATAAAAAATTGATTAAGCACCAAATATAAAATTCAAATTCTCATTGCTTGAAAACCTTGAAAATTGAAGCAATATTAAGGAGAAAAATTCACATTTAATATAATTTGAAAATGAAATTTTTACCAAAAGTTGCTCAAGTTTTTCATCAAATGTCGTAAATTATTAAGAAAAACAAAAAACTTCAACTGCAAAAGCAAAAGCAACCAAATGAGTTTAGCAATGAATAAATAATATTGCACCATTTGAAACTCAGACAGTTTTTCAATTGAGATTTACAAGGAAAAGATGTTGGATGCTTTCAGCTTCTCAGCACAAGCAACTAAAGATTCAAAACTTTACTCCAGTAATACAGTTTCAATTTTGTTAACAAAAAAGATGTTAAACAAGGTAACTAAATGATCTAAGATTGAACATGATTATGGATTGCCATGGATTCTGGTTAAGCGTAGGAGTTTAGAGGGAAAAGATTGTTACAATATGAAGAATGGAATAAACTTTTAGTTCACAAAACAGTGAATAATGAAACAGTAAATGATGTTAATATGAAATAATTGATGTTCTGCATATTAAGTGGAGGATAAAATTAGAAACAAGTGACAAGTTTCCGAGTAAAGATTCAAAGTTGAACGAAATTATTTCGCGAAACTTATGAGAAGAAACAAAAGATCGATTGATATTAAGATGAGAGGAACGAGAAACTTTTGTTACCTTCCAGAGTCTCGAGTTGACATTTATACAAAATTGATATTGAATGGCTATTTGGATGACCAAACGAACTAAATTTAGAAATTTTCCTTTTCGTTTCATTTTACAAGCTTCAACTTACAGAAAAGTTTTGACCAAATTTCCATTTCATATTTCAGTTGAAAGTCTTGATAGTTTTGTAGTAGAGTTGAGTTTCAGGAGAAAAGGTTGAATAATTATTCAAAAAGAAGATTGAAGTCAATTGAATCGAGTAAATTGTTTTTGTGTAAAGCCAACCTGTCCAATCTCATAGTATTTATTCAGATTGAAAATGATGGATCATGAAAAGGGAAACATCTGAATAGCATCATTTCAATCTTGTCACATTGTATTTACTGATCACTTTCATCAATTCCTTTGCTTTTGTATCCACTTTAACTTTCTTTCAATTGTGTTCAATGGAAGCTCATTTTTGGCAAGATTGTCAATGTTAACCAATTTTAGCCTTTCAATGAAAAGAGAAAGTTTTGGACTGAATAACAACAGAAAGGATTGAATGATATTTCATATTGATTAGTTGATTGCATGTTTCCATTGTCTTTTCATTGTCAAAGTGCTTTTTCTCACTCGACTTTGTTTCCATTCTTTGGTTAATTTATTGATTTCATTTTGTTAAACATTGCAATCACAAATGAACATGTTACTGTCTACCTTAAGTTTAATCATTTCATTATTACTTTATTCAAACTTATGAAACACTCGTCTTAAAACACGCAATCAACTCTATTCACTCATTTATTGTTAATTCACTAGCTTTTGGAGTAAAATAACAAAAGTTGGTGAAGAAAAAAGTTGTACAAAGTTAACAATTTATGGTCAGCAAAGATGTTGGTCTTGATCGACTCGAATGATCAAGTTTCGAGTCAGACTCCAGCCAAGCTCAGAAATTTTTGTTTTCTCATTGTTGCGCTATGAGGTCGATCAGTATAAGGCAGGTTAACGATTGTCTTCTTTCCTTCATGTTATGACTCTATCCAATCGCTAAAAATAGGATTGAGTTGTGATAGTTTGTCTGGCTGCTAGAAGCTCCCAGTGACTGAGACTTTAGTCCCATCAGATCCACCAAATTACTTTCGTGGCGTGTTTACTTCGATTTCGGTAAAAAGCATAAATTATCTGAAATCTCAGAACTGCACTTTTCTGTTTGTAAAAGTAGACTTATTCAAAGGCAAAGACTGATGTCAAAGTTAATCCAACATTGCTCGAAGATCAGTTTCTGTGTTCAATTGATTAACATTTCCCTTCTGATTTGAAAAATTCTGGGTCAAGTTTACTGTTGATCAAACCTAAACATTCAATTCACTATCGCTACCATCTTCAACTGCACAGAAAAAAAGTTCATGGAAATGCTCATTGGATTGACGTGATAGATTATGACAAATGGTTTTTCCATTTCAGTCTTTCAACTGTGATTTTCAATCAGTTTAATAATGAAATGAGAAAAATGAAAGGGTTGAAATGAAGAGGAAAAGGTAGGAAACGAATAAAAAAAATGAAAAAAACAAAGAAACATGAACGAAATGAAATGTGTTTTCTTTGTTCACCTAAATCTCTCAGGAAAGACTGAATTTGCGAAGGAAAAAAATTTCCTTATAAATATATAAAAAAGTTGAGAAGAAAATGTTTCACTTTGAATCATCATGAAACAATGAAGAAGCAAACATTTGATTCATTTTTTCATCCCTACCTTGAGCTTACAAATTTCATTTTTGCTTTTCATCAAAAAGAAAATGTTGAAGTGCAAAAAGTGAAATAATTTTTTGCTTTCCTTTTTCATTGCCTTTCTCGAGTCCAAATGAACCAACAAATGTCTCGTCATGTTTCCCCGTTAATAATTTTTTGACGTTCGTTTCTCATGAACTTATCATGCAATAAAGCAAATGAATGAAGAGCAAATGAAGAATAAGAAAAAGACATTTTTGACTAACAATGTTCGAGTCTTGATAATTTGTGTAAATTTAATGGTTAATGCCAAACTTGTCGACTCATAATTGTCAGATTTTCAAATTGAATTTAATAATTAATTGGGTTTGTAAAGGAAAGAAAAAGAAACGTCAAGAGAGAAAAAAGTGTTTCAAGGAAACTTTTTTTCTCTTCTCATCGATTTTGAATTTTTTACTTCAACATTTATCACAATTTTGAACCTTCAAGTTGTTAAATATTAGATCTTGAGTTGGTTCAATTGCATCGAGAAGGAAAAATTCATTTTCTTTGATGATCATGAGAAAGTAAAGTTTCTATTCAAAGAGTTTTGTAAAAAGTTCAGTTGAAAGTTGTACAAGTTGCTTTATAAGTTGATTGAAATACGAAAAAAATGATTAAAAGTTGATGAAATTTCACCAAATTGAATGAAGGTTTAAAAGAATTTTTCAAAATTTCGATTTTCGCTTTCAACGGAAATTAACTCGAACTTTTGAAATCTCATTGGCATTAGATTTCTTGAGTTTCAATCGATCAACTGTGTAAAGAAAAATTTGGTCAAAGTGCATCATCGAACTGCAAAGCTATTTTTCGTAGAAAATTGACTTTTGAGAAATTTCGTTATTTGGATAATTTCTCGTTCTGTACAAACGATTTGATTCGAAATTTAAAAGTTTTGAAAAAAATCGAGTTTGACTTCGATTAAAGCATCTGGCAATTGATAAGTCAATCCAGTTTGATATAAAGTAAATTAGATATCTGTTTCAACCATTAAAAGTTTTCTCGGCTCAAGTAAAATTGCTTTTCCTAATCAAAACTGAAGTAAACAACATTTATTAGGTGAAAGTAAATCACTGTTAGAAGATCACTTTTATTGCTTGTTTACTTTTTCAAAATAAAAGTGAATATTTATGGTAAAATAGCAAATTATGCCTTCATTATTTAATCGATAGTACATTTAGAAAAACTTTTAGCTCTTCAAATCGAAAACAGTTTTTCAGTTTTTCAAGTTATCTCAACTGTTGAATCGAACTTGAATTTACAAAATCCTCGATCAAAACTCTTTTCCAAAAGTGATTCTTTTCAAAGTTCTGTTCCAATTTCCGATCATTTTTGACTCAAAAATTTTCGTTGAAACAAATTTCTTCAGTCGTAAAATTTTGCATTTCCATTGTCATTTCCTCGATTACCATTGGAGTGAACAATTTTATAAAATGACAATCGTGAAAATGATCAATCATAAAGGCAAAAGAGAATCGATTTTGAGCAATAATTTAATCACTAATCATTCAACTATTTTATCTGTAATCAATTTTCCCTTCCACTCGACTCATTCTCTGTAACATTTTCGCTTTCATCTAAAATCCTTTTTTTCCTTTCCATTTCAGACTCAATCTGATTATGTTGCGGCTTATGATAACTTTTGTGTTGAACAAACTGATGCCAATTTGATTACCTACTACGATGCTCACAACAATTATGTTCACCAACTTCATGCCTTCAACGGAATGCTTAAACTCTATGTTGGCGATGTGTTACCCAGTCTTTACGAGGTAAGTGATTATGACCATTCCCAGTGGTTCAAACCTCCCAGGAATCACTGGGAGTGAAAAGAGCATCCTTTTGATAAGTTTAACAAGGTCAATGTGAAAGGAGTGAAACCTTGCAAACTTGCTCAAGGTAAAAGTGTTGCTCAGGAAAATGAATGTTTACTTCACAGATTCATGTTACTAAAAATGCAGAAAGCCAAATCAGATTATCGTAAAAAAACTTTCTCAACTCTTTTTCGTTCATTTTTTTATCTTTTCTCTCATGAGAATTCCAAATTTATATCAATACTTGATATGCAATTAGGTTGTTTATCTTCAACTAAACCTTAACCCAGAATATCAATTTCAAGAGTAATCAACAGATGAAAAGAAGAACATTTAAAATGGACGAAAAAGTTCTTTTCCATTCATCTTCGATTAAAAGCGAAATTGATTGATTCGTTCAAGATGGAATTGAAAAGAATGAACTAAAATCTTTTCAAACCTCTTCTCAATCCATCATTTTTAATCAACGAAAATTGGCCAAATTTAATTACTCTCCAATATCGACTTTTAATTTCATTGAAACTGATTCACTTTCGACTTTTGTTTAGAAAAAAAAGTGGAGAAAAAAAATTTATTTTCTTGAGACTTTTTTCAGCTTCGACTCTGGAGTTAAATCTTGAGATTCAATTATTAAACAGCAAACAAGATTAAAAATGTTTTGCCTTCATGAATATTCATTGAATAATGAAAACATGATGAATCTTGAATAATGATATTGTAATGGAAGGAGAATAAAGAGGAAAAAGATTGTCTTCGAAAGGTCAATAGATAAAGGTTAATAACGGTAAAAGATTGAACAAGTTCTTGTATCGAACCAATGATGCAACTCAAGGGTGCAACTGTGGTCGACGAATAAACAGACAAATGATTAGACAAAATGAGAGATTCTTATTCCTTGAGCACTTTTTCCACCAATGATGTATGCTGATCATGTTGATGGTGATGATCATGATGATATGATAATCATGATCGAGAAAAAAAAGTTACTTCAAGAGTATTATGTTTGCCATTTAATCTCACCTCTTTACTGTTGGCCTATTTTTTCCTCTTTTTTCTTCTCATTTTCCATTCTCATCAGGATAAGATTATTCAGCTCTTTTGTTCAACATGATGAAAGATGAAGTAAAGAGTTACAACAAGATGAACCTTTTCTCACTTTTCACAGAAAAGTTAACATCTTTTGTTTCATCACAACTTTTAGACACAATAATTTGAGTTTCCCTTGAGCAACATTTTCACCATTCGTCTCATTAAAAGTCACCAACAGCTTAGTCACTTGGCAGAGACGAAAAACTGTGGTTAGTCAAAATCAATCATTCGACAAGGAAATTGCAATGTTCGAACAAAAATTTTCTCGAAAAATCTGTCAAAATTTGGAAATTCATTTTTTCGATTTCTTTTCTTCTCCAGGAACTTCAAGAAGCATATCTGGACGTGAGTGATATTCTTGCCTGTTCAATACATTCAGCTGCCGAGTTTCTGACAAACAAGGTAAGAATCAAACTCGAAAATCGTTAAATGTCAAAGAATCACATTTTACGAATCAAAAGTATTTAATGGAAAAGTTTATTTTTCATTATTCGATATTTCATTTGAATAATAATGGGAATAACAATTATTATCTAAATTGAATTTTGATGAACAAGGGAATGAAAAATGTTCACATTTGCCTTTAAAAGTGCTATAACTTTACCATAATATGATAATGATGATAATAATAATCAAAATTGTTGTTAGTTTATCAAACTTTTTATACTTTTAAATTTGTTTTTTTCCTTTCAATGAAATTCATCCATTAACAAGTAACAACTTGAATAACGATTTTTGTCGAGCAAAATTTATAAATATCAGAATTGGACAAATAAGTCGGTGAAATAATTGGTAAAGAAATGAAGAAAAAGAAACAAGTGCTTGAAGTTCTTGCAGATTATTCAGTTTTTTTTCTGTTGTTATCAGTTTCTTTAGTTGATAGTCAGTGTTCAAGTTGAAGTTATTAGTTGAATGAAAATTGAATTGAAATGCATTAATATGTTTGAAGGTTAATAAATATGGAATGACTTGAATTTATTAGCTGCCAATGGTGAATCATTTGAATAATATGAATAACATTACGAGATGAAAGAGAAACTTATTAATATTGAAATAACACGATTGTGATTCTCATCGAATTTCCATTAATTCTATATTCTTCTCATAAATCGTAAAAGTTGAACATTTATAATGATATTAAAGGTAGAAATGAGGTGAAATCAGTTTTCATTTTTCCCAATATTCTATTAGTTGGCGATTTATCATGGAAAAATGAGAATCTAAATTATGCATCGAGTTTCAGGATATGTTTAGTGTTGATGAAAATTCCATTTTTTGTGGACAAAATAGACAATTGTGGAAATTTTGGATTGATTATTCTCAAGTCCATGCTGAAATCTGGAGTGAAATGAAGACAAATGAGAATAAGGAATCTCTTTTTAAGATAAATTGATAATCGATAAATAAAACTCTAATTTTACTAAACACTAAATGTTCCATTTTTAGAAATTTTCATCCAATGCATTTCACCGAAACAAGTCCAGAACGACTCGCCACTTTTTTCGATAATGCCCAAATTTCTCTGAATTTAGCCATATTCGAAACTATTATAAAGAATCTTCGGAAAAACCATAACATGAATATACATGTAGCTATTGTGACTAGAGTGTGGAGATCAGCAATAAATGGGACTGACGAAGAGCTCAGCCTGGTCAGACTGATTTAACCAAGGGTAGACTTAGAGAAGTGGAAGTTTAAAGTTGATTTCTAAGTGATTTTCATCGAAAGTGTTATTCAACTGAATCTTTTTCTTAAGATCGTCAGCATCGATACTTTTGTTTGCAAATAACTTTCCATGTTCATGATACTAAATCTGAGTTATTATCATTGCAACTTATAATCTGAGGTTGTCTCTTTGAGCAAACAGAACTTTTTTTTTGCTTCCAAAGCTCAAATAACTACTCGTGTTGAGCAAAAAACTATCTGTTTAGTCTAATCAATCATGGCTGATGATCGATCAAGCTGAAGATCGTTTGAGATGCAATTATAAATGAACAATCTTTAATTTACAACTCTCTACTTAATCAACTATTGTATTCATCGATGAGTTGACCTTGATAAATGAGGTAAGCTTACTTGATAGGTAAAGATTATCAATATTTTTTTCTTCAATTCTTTTCTCTTTTCCACCTTTTCTTGTTGAATCCCCATCTTTATGAATCACCAAGATTACATGATGCATTGCATTTGATAATCAACAATGATAATATTCAGCCAACAGTCCAAACTATTGAACTGTCTATTCTCGATTGTTCTAATTTTACCTTTGAACTATTCCAAGTATTATTACTCTTTATGCTGATCCAACAGAAAAAGAAACAAAAAAGGTTGTTGAATGAAAGACAAAAGTGAGAGAGCAAACAGAAGCAACCCTGAGATTTCATGAGGTAGAATGAATCTTGAATAAGGCTTTTTTGTCAGCATCAGTAAATGACATTTGTCCTGTGATGACATGAATTGTATGGTTAAATGATGAACAGGCAAAAAAGAGTTGAAAGACAACAATATTATAAACAGTGAGAGTTGAAGTCGAGTTTAGTCAATTGAATAACTTGGTATAAAAGTGAATTTCAGTTAAACCATTTAGCCTTTCTGTGACTGTTTCAAAAATGATAACAAACAAGTTTCACAGATGAAACAGAAAATGTCACTTCATTTGATTATACAAAAATGTTGACTGAACAAAAATTTACTAGATTACAGGGAATGATAATAAATGGATAAAATTGCATCAATGGCTTTTCTTTCTACTTTACAATCAATTAATCAATTACTTTATAATCTGTTGATTGAGGAAACAAGATGAACTTGTAAAATTAATTATTCAAGTGAATGGAGAAGCACAAGATTAATGCTCAATAGTTGATAGATTGGCTAATCAAACGTAAATGAAGCCAAAATTTTGCATCCATTGTTCAAGAGTTGATATTTCCAACGCCTCTTCCTTTGAATTCATATTAAACTCAACTGGCGATTCAGCATAAAATTAGATCATATCTGCATAGAACCTAAGGTCAATAGCAATCAGTTTCAAAGAATGAATGAATGGATTAAACTCAGATATCTGTTAATATAATTAACAGATTCACGATAATTCAATATCATTTGTGCAATGGCACTGAACACTCCTGTTGCCAATTGCGTGTTCAACTAAAGTGAATTAAATTAAATTTTTGCACAAAATGAAAGATCCGAGTAAAGGTCCACTTATAAGGTAATCATCTATCATACAGTCTGTTCATTGTGTGTTGATAACCTTGAATGAAATGGGCATGTTAATGATGATGCATAAAAGGTTGGGAAAAAGGTGAAAAGTAGAAGGAAAAAAAGGGAAAAATAAAATGTGTAAACTCAATCAATCACGATGATTCCCAGTGAGAATCATCTGATGAAAACTTTTTTCAATGGAAAATTTGAAAGCTGACAAAATTTGAATTACAGGAAAATGATAAGTATTGTGTTGAGATTAATGTTTACATTTTTCCTATTACCTTTTCATCCTTAACCAAGTCAACTTTTAAAAATACTAATATTGCCAGTAAATATTGCTCAGTAAACAGAAATTCCAAAGACTGAATAATTTGCTGATCCTTTGCAATACTTGCATCAAAGGTGTCCCAAGAAGGAAAGCGTTTCAAATAGCTTTCCATCATTTTCATTGCCCAATAGACTCGACTAAAGTCTACATTATCCAACCTTTGAATAAGGTTCATTGCCTAACCTAACCCAACCTAACCTAACACACTCAGCAGGACAAGAAACATGACCGTCATGAGTATACCTCTGACGATTAAAGTTGATTTGATTCTCATCTCTTTCCCTTTACTTTCAACTTTCAACTCATAGTTTAAAGCTATAAAGTCAACTTTGGTTCACCCAATGATTCACTGAAATTAATTTGTATCCTCATTGTTGAGCAATTTAACAGTTTACTGAACATTTTTGTTTATTTAAAAGCAACTTTGACTCACAACTTTGTCAGACTTTTGACTCAAAATTCAACGCTTTTTTTGGTTAACTCGTTAGTCTGTTTGCTTTAAAAGATTCATCATCGGGTTATTTTGTTGTAACAATTGTTAAACTTGAAACAATCAATCTTTTTCAACTCCTGTAATTGATTTGATTCTAATCAACATTTCATTTTAAATGATAATTTCGAGTCAATTTGTTTCCATTAGAGTTAAACTTGCACCTGAATGTAGCATGATTGTTTCCCTTTCATCTCTGCCTTCTGGTTCATCTTTTTTATTCACTTGCAAAAGTTTGATAATGAACATTGCCTTGAACTTTATTTCGTCTTGAAGCTAGTTGAATGTAGCTTAGGACAGGTTTTGTTTCCCAATCAAAATGGTCAATTTATCTTGTCCTTTGTTGCTCCTTTCACTCAACTCGTTGCTGTTTCTCGAGATCAATTTGTAATCCTTTTATTGTTCACCTTTCCGGATCACAATTTATCATTTGATAAAGATCGCGATATTTGCAAGTAAACTTGAATTGAAAGCAAAATTAGAAGAAAAAATTATAAAGTTATTTATGATTGAAATTCAATGGAAAAGTTGCCTTTAAATGTGCACAATTTACCATTCAATGAACCATTTAATGTCCTTTTCGTCGTATTTGTTCAATTGATCGACTCTCAAGTTTTGTGTAAACTCTCAATAGATTCAACTCACAAAACAAACGAAACAAATCCATAACAGTTTATCTGCTTTTAAAGTTTCTCACGTCACGAAAGACAACAAGATTTGTTGAATTGCTGTTAATAGTTTAATGCAACTTTTCAATTGAATTTTCATGTAGAATTGAATTTCTTTAAAGAAACTGATAAAACTTGATCAACAGCAATCTACATTAAGAGACAGTAATGTAGTTAAAATGATGACAAAGGTGAAGTTGAAGTTGAAGGAGAAACGTTTAAATGAGCAAAAATAAAGTTAACGAAAAGGTAAAGAAAAGGTAAATCGAAATTTTGTCCTCCAGGTAAATATTGATCTAATGAGAACAATATTGTTGTTGAACATTTTTCGATAATCATTATGATTGGACTGTTGATGTAATGGTTATGACAAGAGTCAATATATGAACATAATCTGACAAAATTCTGGTTCAGTTTAGACACATTTTCCCCTCGTCTTTCATTCAGTTAATGATTCATCGAAAGGTTGAGAGGAAACAAAATAATGATAACAAATGAAAGTGAGCAGAGAGGGAAAAAAAGATTGAAAAAATGGAAAAAAACTAAAATCTTTTGCGAATATTTATTAATAACTTTTTGCTCTTTTTTTTTGCTCTTCTTTCCAATTGCATTCTGATATTGATTTGGAATGAAAAGTGCAACTTGAAGGTGCTCAGAAGATGAGACTAAATGGATAGTAATGATGATCTGCTGTTGTTGAATGGAAGGATGAAGAGATGAAAAAATGATGAAAATGGTGATTTTGATGGATAGATTGGCATTGAACTTGTTTGGATTATGGATAACGATCATGAAATAAGAATGATGAAAAAATGATTCTTCTTTTTTCTCATGCTCGCCCATTGTTTTCTTGTTCAATCTTGCGTTTTTTTCTCGTCTTCATCTTTTTCTTTACTTTGCTCATTATGCTTTCATTTTCAGTGTCGATAATTTGAGTTTTGTTGACTAAAAAATTCAATTGTTTGCTCAGTCGTTGGTACGAATAAATGGATTGGTTCAATTAACCAATAAAAAGAGCTTTTTTCTCATGAAAAGTTATTCTTACTTTATTGATCAGATTTCATTGTTAACATTGTAAGAACAAGAAAATTTAGATAATTCTATTGATATTAACAATGGTGACATTTAGTGAAAGTTTCATTGCTAATGCACTCTTGTTCATCTCATTACATGTTACATATTTCACTTGAACAAATTTCAACCTTGAATAGGTTAATTCACTTAGTGAAATTAGTCTAATCAAGTGTTTATCTCAGTCGGGAAAAGTGACAAAGTTTTCTAACACAACTCGAGTTATCTTATTCTGCTGAGCAAATGGTCTGAGCATTAATGATGATCCATTTAGATTCAAGTTAATAATGACATTTTCTAATGATTTCGTCTCAACTATCAACTGAGCTGATGGAAGATACTTTATCTCAATATGAAACATATAGATTGAATAGGGATAGAAATCGAACAATATTCTAACAACTGAATCGAAAACTGATTATTTTCAATCGAAGTAGCTGTTACATCGCTAAGTGAAAACTGAAAGTTGCTTAATGAGCTGCTATAGTAGTTGGCGATTATTCTGTGCAATAGTTGAAACGAAGAGACATCATTGATTTCCATGTTTTTGCAACACTTTTAGATGATCCTAGTGAGATGAAGTCAATTATGAGCATAAGTGACATTTGAGCAAAAGTTTTGACTCTTTGCTACCCACAACTGTGCTATAGACGGGTTTATGAGAGGATTGATGTCAGTTTTTCAAACCAAGAAAGGTCAAGTTGAACAGGATTGTATTGGAGCAGAACGAGTTGAGTGACACTCTCATTGCTGCCTACAGAATTTACTCATTGGAGAATCGTTAATTTCCGAAAAGTATTGGTTTTGGTCCTTTCTCACATGAACACTTCCATGAAAATGATACTCTTCAGCTTGTCAGCTGGGAATAGATAATTCATGCAAACTTTTTGAAACCATTAGTCTTTTAATGACTTCAATCCGATCACAAATTCACACATTGATAACATTGCCGAGACTTATTTGAGATCGCATTTTCTCATTAGAAACAAAACTGTCAACCAGCAAGATTTTACACAGAAAAATACTTCAATTTGGCAAACTGAAATCTAGCTTCCCTGTAATGAATTAAATATTCTGTAAATTTTCATGAAATATAAAAGCTGGTAGAGACAAAGATTTTAAGAAATTAGAAATGAAACTGACAAATTGTGAGAGAAAAACAAATGAAAAGTAAAGTACAAACAATGTTCATCTAGTCGAGTATTGATACAGAAAGTAAGTGAAAGAGTATTAATGACATTATTTTTAGAATACAGAATTTGATAGTTGAAGAAAAGAGCACAACATGAAAAGGAAACGAAAGGTTTGAAGAAGCAAAGACAATCCTTTTTTGTATTCTTTCTTCTTGTTGCTGTTATCGTGATTCGAAAAAATAATGTCCATTCCCTGATAATCAATGTTTACTCTTGTTACTCCTTACCCATTAGTTGATCTTGAACAAGTAAACCAACAAACTTAATCGTCAATCCTTTTGGCACAGTTGCTACATGATAAGAAATGCCGAAATGTGATGGCAAAATTACTCAAATCAAATTCCCAGTGTTTTTCACTCCAAGATGATATTCATGAGACGAGATAAAAACAAGTTGCAATTTCCATTTGATTTTAAATCTTGCAATTATCATGACTCGTGGAGCTCAAGTCAGCCAGAATAACTGAAAAACAGATAACTATTGAGATTATGTATCATTTATTATCATTTATATTATTATTATCATCATTCCGTGCTTAACTAAATTAACTTTACCTGTTTGTTTTGCTTGAAAATAAGAAGTAAACAAAATCTTTATTAATATCATTACCTTTCATAATGTTTATCAAACTTTATCAGGTGAATCCAGATTAAGTTCGACTTGCAAGTAACGGCCGATTCTTTGTACAAAATACTTTTTCGCTATTCCGTTCTAATTTCTTCTTTTCCTTTCAACAGATTCGTGAACAGAGTAATCATTATCAGACGATTAGTAATGCAGCCAAGAGCATCAATGGACGGAATGATATTGTACCTTACATTAAAGCTCTAAATGTCGACAAAGTTTCATTGCCTTCTCGAATCCACAACTTTGTTTCGCCCGCTTTAATCAACGATACTGCAATCAATGCCAATTTTCCTCCGGTAAGTAAAAAGAAAAAATTCCAAAAATTTTTTTTCCTTTCCTTTCCTAATGATGTTTTTGTTGATGAAAATTCGTCATTCTTTGTGTTGATTCATTAGTAAATTTTTTATTGAAGTATAACAATTCAAAGTCGTTCAAAAGTTTTGATGAAAAACAATTGAAAGTTCAATTAGGTTTTTGTTTTAAAGAATGGAATGAAAGATTTTAAAATGGTTTATAATGAAATGGAAATGATGATTGAAATTGAACTTTATTTTGTTCCAACCACTTGTAATGTGAATAAAATGAAGAAGGTAAAAACTGTTATGTAAAGAGTTTTGATTCTGGATTTGTTGTTGTTTATTCCATGCTTCACCATTCAACTTTTGACATGAATTTTAGACTTCGATTGTTATCCATTTCTGTCTTTTTTCTTTCACCGAACAGGAAGTTGTTGCTGTTTTAGCTAATGAGCTTTATATTGATAAAGCGTGCCGTTATGTTTTTAGGAGTAAACTGGACGAATTGAAGCGAGAAATGAATGATCTTGAAGGTAAAATTCAGCAGCTCGAAGAATCCTTGGAATCACTTATAAAATTACAGCAAAGGTAAGATTAATATTTTATCGAGAAATGATGAAACCAGAATGACTATCAAATTGTAAAATTCAACATTAACCTTCTGAAGATGTAAAGCAATGAATTTAAAATTCAAATGAAATTTAAAACCAAATCTGTTGACTCAACTCGAACCAGTTACCAAGTCAAGTTGCAACTTCAATGACCTTCGTCTAGATATAAACAAACATCAAAATGATCTTTACCTTGATCTTACAGTAAAAATGAATGTCGATCAAATCGCTTAACCAGGTCAACACTTCTTGCGCATCAATGAACTATCGAGAAATTTCAGAAAAGATTTTCTTTTCAAGAAAATGTCAGCTAAAGAGATTGTAGTGAAGTTGAAATGCAACAAAATAGTTGAACAAATTGGTTTGTTTTGAGAATTTTTTTTCGATTAATTTTTATGAAAATTTTGTTGCTTTGCATGTTGTTCAGATTTAATGATAGCAATTGAAAGAACAAAATTAAGAAGAATTTTAAAGTTGTTTCGTTTGAAGTTTTGATGGCAAAGAATGAAATAATTGTCATTTTGTTTCATTCATTTCTACAGGAGTCTCGACTCAAATCTTCACAATAAAGCTAATGAGATTCAAGAAGAGATTTGTTTGAAAAAATTTGATCTTCACTTGGCTCATATGCAAATGGCTGCAATTAAATCTCAGGTAAATCTTTTGTCTTTTTATCGCCTTTTCTTGCCTTTCTATCGACAATTCCTTGTGTCTCTGCCCATTAAACATTGTTTGAATTGCCTGCAATTAGATGAGCAAACCATGATAACAGTCGATAACAGCTTTGAAAATGAATAAAATGTGATTGAATGAAAACTTTATAACTTGATTAACGTTTCACGATCGGCAATATATTAAAAGCATTTTCATGATTTACTCTCATTTACATCATTTTATTGAACGATCATTAATGATATTTTATCATTTCATTATATTGTCATGAAAATGAAAAAGAAAAGAGAAAAGTTGAAATTTTAAAATGACAAAAGTTCAACTTTTGTTTTGCTATGAACATCAACTTTACTCTAGAGGTTCACTTGCCATCGTATTTATGGATTTGTGATAATGAAACGAAACTTTATTTTCGTTTTTTCCCTATTTTTACCCTTTTCGAAAAAGGTTGAACACTTATCATGCAAAAACGATGTTTAAGGTAAAAAATAGCAAAAAAAGTTGTTCAATTCGATAAATTGGTTTGCTTATAAATGCTTTTTTGGTTCTTTGTTGTTCATATTTTTACAATCCTTTTGAGAGGTTAGGAGAAAAGAGTAAAAATTGTTTTTTCACTTGTTTCACTTGTTCCAATAGATAGAGTTATATACAGCCAAAGATCGTGATTTTCATGTTGATAATGGTTATTTGGTTCAACGAGAACGAAAATCGTCAACGACAAGTACAACAAGTATCAAGATGAAATGGTTCAAAGCGTTTAAAAGTCTCAAATCATCGCCAGTTTCAAACAATGAAAGGTAAATTCAGTATTTTTCATTCATATTTTTATTAAATTTTCCAATTTCTGTAGCTTTTAAATACTAAAAGTATAAACAGTTTGCATGTTCAAGTTTAACCACAAAATGTTTTTCATTTCGTAAAATGTAATCTTCGAGTTGAGAGGAAAAGGTATCGAAAACAAAAGGAATTACATTTTGGAACATTTAAATTCCAAACACGAAACAAATCGACTCTTCTGATAACTTTGCAAGTAAATCTTTCGTTCGGAAGCATGTGAAAAGGAACTGGATTCAAGAAATTTTTGATTTTGAATGTGAGCAGAAAACGAAAAGTTCAAAGAAAGGAAATGCAAAAAGGTTTTGACGGGTGTTTTATTAGGGTTTCAATCGCAAGCAAAAGATTTATTGCGATTTTTTTACCTTAACTTATTCATAGTCAAATTTTTGGTTTTATTCTGAATTTTGACGCATTTTTTTCTTTGTAATTACTTTTCGAATCAAATGAAATCGTGAAAAAATATTATCTTAATCTTAAAGATGTTATTTTATTTAAGACAGTTAAGACATTTCCGTTGCTTCGAAATTCTTCATTAGCACAAAAAGATAAATAGCAAAGTTTATGATAACATGAATCTATCCGATTGGAATTTGTGTTTTTTTCAAAATTCTGTGTTACCTGAAGAGAATCGAAAATGAGGTTTTTCAATTTTTTGCTTTTTACTTTTTTCCCAAAACAGAAATGATGATGTAAAAAGAGCACTTAAAGGCAGTTCAGATTCAAATTCAACACTTTACCTTTACGAAGGTCAACATGTATGGACTGAATATACTTACAAGAAAATTACTCCCTGTGATGTTTGCCATGAAATTCTTAGAGGTAAGTGAAATTGTCACTTTTCCCTACTTTACTCAATCAAATGGACATTAATTTTGTACATAAATGATCAACTCTTTTCCTTTCCTTCAACAGGACATTCTAGACAGGGAATGAAATGTAAAATGTGTAAACTCAATTGTCACTCTGAATGTACAGATAAAGCCACCAAGTGCCAGGTAAGACCAACAAACTTCTCTACTCGCAATTGCTTCAAAATGTTTACAACATTCATTTTCGTTTACCTGACCATTAATGATAAATTGAATAAAATTCATTTCAATGATGAATCGAGAAGAATCTCTTTCCTCACGAAGAGAGAGGGAAAAATAATGTCCATGAAAAGAGCAAAAATAAGACCTGAAATGGTCAATAATGATCAACATGAAACGAAAAATATTCAATGGAAGAACAATTTTCGTCTTTTACTCTTTTACCTGTTTACAGGTTACAATGATTTATCCATGAATTATATCATGTTGTTGATATGAATGGAGAAGAAGAACTTTATCATGTATCTGGTTACATCTCATTTTATTCAGTTTCAATCTATCGTTGCTATTTCCTTTTCGTTGTTTCACAAACCCTGAACATTTCTTATCATTTGTTTGACTAGTTGAAAAGCATCCTTTTTCCTTTTTCCATGAAAAAAAGGTAAATCAAATTCTGGTTCAATGTTACATCAGGTAAGACTGTTGATCAACTAGAGATGATGTAAGATGGTAAAGGTTAACCAGCTATAAAGAGAAGAGCATCTTTTTCACTTGGCTCCTCACTCATTCATTATAATCATGATGCATTCTGTTTTGCTCAGTACTTTTATCCTTCATATCTTACCAAGATAATAATGAACTCAGAGAGGCGCAAACAAAAACAAAAAAGCCTTGTCTTTTAGCTGTTCATCATTATTCAATTCATGTTGAACCTTTTCACCCTCATAATGATGATTAGCTTTTCTTGATGGAAATGGCTTATTCAATCTTAACATCAGCTTTTCAGGTTCATTTTAACCCAAACAAAATACATTACCATTCAGATGTTGGCCAATCAAATGACTCGAAATTTCAAAAGCGAGACATAATTTAGGTGATCAATGAAGGTGCAAAATTTTGAAAAGAAAACAGTTTATCAATTTGATTCTGTTATTCAATGAAACTGAACTGGTGAGAACACTCTTACCGCAAGAAGAACAAAAATAGCTAATGAATTTCGTTTGAACATGTTTTCGGCTGCTCTTGACCATTGAAGGTCTTTTTGCATTCTCAAGGTTTGAAATGCATGTCCAAGCCGTTTCGTATTTGATACTCTCGTTGATCATGTGGTACATGAGCTTCAGTTCTCGGCTTATCTTCAAAAGTGAGAAAAAATTGATAATAGCCATTTTTGATAGAATTAAAATTTTATGTATCGAATGACCTAACAAGAGAAGTGACATGCTTGTAAGATCATCCTCATTTTTTAAGTTTATATTGTAGACTGAAAAATGTTTAAACATGTATTTTTGACCGCTTTATTGATATTAGGGTACTTTAAATTAAAAATAGTGATGCATTGGAGTCACTGAGAAGCAAGTATTAATGAAACAATGTAAAACATGGAAAAGGAAAAAATCTAATAAAATTGTGACCCGATAATGTTAGGCACAAGTGCATAACTTTTACCATTGCAATGATAAATGAATTCTTCCTAAATTAGATTGGTTAACTGAATGGTATGTACTAACTCATATCCTCTAGCCAGCATGAGTTATGACCATGCGACTCACATTGCTCGATATGAAAATTTTGCGATCTCAGATGACCTTCCAATTTCAATTAGAGGTCAAATGAAGATTGACCTTGAATACCCTTGAGTGTCCTGATATTCCGAAGTAACTTAACAAAATGTCGTGGGGTTCCCTCATGAGACTAGTAATTATCGGGGTATAAGACAATTCTGATCGTTACCTAATCATCAAAAGCAGGTTTATATTTACGCTTAGCTTAACTTTCGAGAACAATGATTGAAAATTTTTTGTGTTATAACTCATGAACGGTTGATGCTACAGACTTCAGATTAAACCATAATCTTCGATTTATTGACGAATCACACGTTAGATTCCTCAAGGTTAAATTTTTATTTAACATTGAATTGAAATGCAAAAAATAAAATATACAATTCAAAATAAGTACAATTTTGGTTTTTTTGCTCAGCTGTAGCAAAATGAGATTTGAAAATCAAACTTTCACTTCAACAAACCAATAACTAAAAGCTAGCTTTTAAAAACAAGGTTTTAGAAAAGGTTTAACGGATTCGATGTTTTGTAATCTTAAAAATAATATTAAGCTTTCTTGGATTGAATTATATCAGTATATTTCCAACCTTCCTCAATTCATTTCCATAAAAAATAGCAATAATTTTATATTCTGGTGAGCATAGAATTAAAAAACAGACCAAAACTTTCTCCTAAGTTTGTTGAATTTAAACAATCAACAATTTCCCATTCTTTTGACCAAGAAAAGTGAAAGAAAATTCTGTTCAAAATTTTCTCAAAAAAATAGGAGCGAATCTGAAACTTACAAATCGCAAACTCGCAAAACTAGAAAATGTTTACTTTAATTCAGGTGCTTCAATAGCGAACTAAATTTAAACCTAATTTGAGTTTACATTGTTTGACTTTGTTAATAACTTTGTATTAGTAATGAGTTAACATGTTGACTGAAAATTGGAATCACTCAGTTACTAATAACAGTTATCATCTAACGATGGTTACCAGGCAGATAAAAGTTATTCCAGATCTTCTTATTTTCTTTCAAAATCATGTAACACTTTTTCTGAGCAATTTTCATTATCTGTGTGTTCATGCTTATTGCCCTTCTTTTCTGTTATCATTGAGATTATCATTCCCTGTACAGCATTTATAATGAAAATGAGCATTTCAATTGTAATGGAAAATTAGCCTACACAGATTGCTGTAATCATGTTTTTAATCAAAATTAAAAATGTTCTCTGATGAGAATCTTTTGCTCTTTTCTATGATCATTATTATGATAATTTTCAATTCTTGAGCGCATTCCATTACAAGTCTTGCTTCCCTCTGAACCCATCAACTCTTACCTTTTACATTATCTTTATCATCATCTGCTCATTATCCGCAACCATGACAGTCAATGATAGTCAAAGCCATGGTAAAATGTTGATGAAAATTTACTCAATAGATGAAAATGAAGAAATCATTGTAGCCTGAAAAAAGAAGAAGAAGAAGAAGAAGAAATATCTTTCATGGTTGAACAATTTTCTGTCACCTTCTCCACTCACCCAACCAACATTATCTCAGAGCTAAGAAGATCGTGAAAAGTTTCATTTCAGGTTCACCAAGCAAATTAATCTCAATGTTTATCATACATGGTTTTCACCTTGAGTTGCTTGAGATAATCTCATGACAACTGTTGATTCAGTTTAGGCATGAATCAATTTCGCTCATTTCTTCCAGCATTTCATTTCTCAATTGAATTAATTTTCAAAATGTAAAGTCTTTTAGCTGGCATTAGTTGCTTATGTTTCCTCAGGCTTTCATTGTTTACTGACAGGAAACTTCAACTTGACTTTGACGTTCATTAAAAGAGCGTTTTATTTACTAAAAACTCAAAGTTAAATCAAATTAATTACTTACAGCTCGAAGAGTTTAACTTTATTACAAATGGATCATGAAACTAAACTTCATTTAATCATTTACATGGCAAAGCAGCTTGTGAATTTCCAAGTCGAGTTCAAATGGATTCACAACCTTTTGTAATTGAATACAAAAGACAGTGATAATCAATTATCCATGTTTTTTGGTACAAAAATTTTCCCCTGAAATTGGACTTTTTTTTATCAAGAGAATGCAAATTATGATGAAAAATGAAGAGAAAGAAAAATGGACGGATAAATATTCAGCAGATTGAATCAATTATTGATTTTCTCTTTGAATTATTGAAACGAAGAATTTATATTTCGAGTTTTAATAATGAATGGTTGTAATCATTTTATCCAATTATTACCAGTTTAATCATGTTTTTTCATTATAATTTTTCGATGTTTTTTTATTCTTCTCTTATTTCTGGTTAATCCGATTCAGCCTAAATCAAGATTATTGCGCCGTCAAAAGTCAACCTCTGAAATCGAAGCCAAACTAGCATTCAATGAACTGGACGATGAAAGTAAGTACCTTTTAAAGCTTAATGATCGTAATCTCAACTAACTCAATCCTCAATAGTCCAAAAATAACATTGAATTAACTTTCAATTAAACACATTCACTGATTCCTTGGAAATTCTGTCAACTCAGAATTTTTCCAACATAAATGAATGAATCAATTTAGCCTACTAAAAGCATCGATTTAACAAATCAATTTGAACGAAAGTTTTTTGTCCAAACGTTTCCATCAAAATTCGATTAAAGAAAAATCTCAGTCTCACGCTCGACCAAAGACTAAGACTTAATTTTCTCGTAAATCACTTCAGTTCGTATTGATCTCAGTTCCAAGTCTACTTCAGAGTTGATCTGATAAATTCATGCAATCGGACTTTTCCAAATCGATTTAAAATCCATTTCCATAAGTTAATTTAATAAAATACCTTTACAGTCATTACAAGAGTTGAATGCCTAAAGCTCAAGAATCTTTCACTTAATCTCAACTGCAACTCTTGAGTGGCTTTCAACTTGTTTCAATGTTTAGACTATTAATAGTGACTTAACCATAATTACTCAACTTCAATGAAATGTTAAACCAAGTTGTTACTCAAATCTTGAATCATTTTCATTGCTCAGTATTTCAAGCAAGTGAGTTGGCTTAAAATTATCCAGTTGATTGCAAACAAAAACATTCTTAAAATAAACCAAAAGTTGATTCTAATGAAATGGACTCAACATTGAAATGCAAATATTGTTGCTCTAATAAGCGTATGAGATTAACTCAAAGTATAATCAGTCCAATCCTAAAACTATACGAATTCATTGAATTTCCAACATTTTTTTCTCTCTTCATTCAATTATCATTCTCAAGTAAATGCATTATTTATAGTTTAATAGGAAAAGCTTTTCAATCCAAAGTGATGGCTCAATATTTAGATAATTACATTTTCTATTGATTTTATATTCTCACCTGATTAACACAGAAACATTTATTAACCATTCCATTAGGAGTCATCATTAGTACAGAAAAGTGGACAAAAATTGGAATAACTTTTAATGCTAATTAAATGGCACTCCAAGTTGGGTGCTGATTCATTCAGTTCGTGATGTTTTCAAGTTTCAATGTTACATAGCGAAATGGGGAAAATGAAACAGAAAACAAAAGTTTGTGTTTGCACTTTTTTTACTATTAAAAGCAAATAACTTTTTTTGTTGTTAATAGCATTGTTTACTGTCGTTGCTCATCCTAATTGATAGTAACTGGTGAAAGGGTAAAATGAATAAATATGCAAATATTGTGCATGAAAGTGAATGTAAACAATGAGATGTTAATATTGGAAAAATTGATGAAATTATTTGCTTCGTTTTTTCTTCTTCTTCTTCTTGTTCTTCTTCTTATTTGCTCGTTTCATTATTGTAATTGTTGATATTGTTGTTGTCATGTATTAGAAGCTGCTCAACCAACAATCGATCCAGTTTACCAATTACTTAGAACAGCAAATGAGGTTAGACGGAATCCAAGTTCAATGAGTGACCTTAACCATGGGATCAATGAGACGACAACTGATCGTTTCTCTAATCTAGTCTCCAGCCTTATGCCACCTCATCATGCTCGTATACGATCCTCTGCATCATCTTCCAATTCATCTTCATCTTCTCATCTTCTCGCTGTTAATAACAATTCAATGCATGCCTCTTGCTCAGGTATGTAACACCATAATATTAGATGTAACAATAAAGTTTCACCAATTTCCATTAGAGTTTCGTTCGATAGAGTTTATTCAACAAGAGCAACAATTGGTACAAAGTGATCAAGAGTTCAGATTTCATATTTCGGGTTGATTTTCAATTTCGTTTAAATTATTCTGTGAAATAGAAATTTCATGATTCCTCAAACTGGTCCATTCGGTCTAGAAAATTGCTTTAAAAAGCTGCCCAGAGATCGATAGCAATAGTAATGCTTACTGAAAAGTTTCGAGTTTAAAGTAAGCATTCTTTGATGTGAAAGATGAAAATAGAACTTCAAAATCTGAAATTTCTGTCAAATCTTTAGACGAACTTTTCTTTTCTCATTTGAAAATGTACTTTGACTGGTAAATGCTGAAAATCGACTGTTGATTGAAAATGAAATATTCTCGAATCTCGACATTACAAGCGACGAAAAATTACGATCGTTGTTCATGGTCTTGTTGTTACTGATCACTTTGGACCAAATGTTTCGATTACTGAAGTCTCTTGTTGATTGAGCTTTCATGGTGAAAGATGGGAATGCACTTTTATCATTTTGATTGACACTTTTGTCTTCACCTGTTCAAGTTGAAACTTTGAGCAAAATGCAAATCAAAACTCATTTGATAACTATTAGCAGTTTGTTGAGATTTTTATGCAAAATGAGAAAAGTTTGTTTCCATCATTTTCATCATTTAAACTCTATATCTATTACTTTATATCGTAACATTAACATTAGAAACTTGATAATTGTTAATAACAGAATAATACGCTTTTCCCTGACGTTTGATTCAAGCTGAGAAGAAAAAATTTCACATTATTTGTTTAGTTTTCTGATAAACACTGGACGATCAAAAGTCCTTCTGTTATTTAATCACTTCTAACAACATTTAGAATCCATTATCAGCTTAAGTAACACCATTCATAGTTGAATAGCAAGCAATATAAACCACAAGTTCACATTCATCATGAAACTTCGATATTACATTTAATGAAAGCGAATCTTGAACTTGCAATAAGCTGGTTGAAGTGGCAAAAATGGCAATAAGTTGACGATTGAATTGATAACTGAATAAATTTTTATCAAGTTTTTCGAAGTGCAAATTTCCAATTTAATCCATTGCTTCAAATCAAAATAGTCTATTTAAATGGGTTTCTGAATAAATTTCATTTCCGTAACAGATTTAGATAAAGAGTCGAGTAACAGATTTACTCAGCAACAGGGAAGAAGAAAAGATCTGAAAGAAATGAAAAGTTTTCCTTAGCAAAGTTTACCAATTAAAAGTTGCATTTCAACAAATTGAGCTTTTAGGCAAATTGAATTGAAATTGATAATTAAACATTTAATGTAACTAAACCTAATCGAACAGCAAAGATGATAAATTAAACAGTTTTGCCTTAGAAACTCAATAATGAAATGGAAAAGTAAATTGAAAAGAAATTCAAATTTCCTTCAAAATTCATTAAACTATGAAATCGACAATGAAAATTATTCTTTTCATTACTTTTGATTATTTTGATTTCAATTTTAATAAGTTTCTTTCAAGACAAAGTTGCTTCAATTGCATTTCAAATTCATCTTTTTATTCAATTTACCAAATTATCAAATCACTTTACATTCAAACAATAAATCAAAATAAATGTTTAAAGATACATTTTTGTCCAATTTTACTGTCAAAGAGTGAAATGAAAGATTGAATTGTAAAGGGAAATCTGAGCTTAACTTTAATCTTTTTTGATTTTTCATGAATTTCTATGTAGTTTGAGGCAACAGGGTTAATCCAAAATGAAAATGTTGAACAATAAATGTAAATATTGAAGGAAAAAGTGTTTTTTGTGGATATTTTGAGCTCTTGTTTTCAATTTACAATTAGAGTAACATTGTCATAATGTTCACTTGATTCAATTGTCCATTAGTTGAAGATTGAGGGAAATTACGTTAATTAGATTGAAGTTGATGCAAATGAATGTCCATTAAAGTGTATTATTCTGTTTGATTAGTTGATTATCATTAGTGTTTACTTTGATTTAAATATTGTGATTAACTTTCTTCTTCTTCTTCTTCTTGATTCCTTTAGCACCTCATAGTCCACAACGAAAGAAACTTTCCCTGAGAATGAAAAGCTTCTCCTTGGACGAATCAACACAGCATGTTCAACGAGCTCGACCACAACCTAATTCAAATCATGCCTCATGTACGATTAATTAACTTACAATTAAATTAGAGACAACTGTCACCTAATGCTTGCAATTAATCTGGTTAAAAGTGTCTTTAACTGCTTTTAAGTTAATGGTTAATAGATGGCGATCAGTAAGAAAACCGATTATGTAAAATGTAAATTATAGCAAGATTAAGCTAAATGTCACACTGTGCAACCTTTTGTTTAAACCTAAATTTTTTAGGTTGCAGGTTTGCTTTAAAGACACTTTTAACCGACAACCATTAATCATTAGAGTATTTTACCATTTTAGGTTAATTATTAAATTATTAATTAATGTATATTTTGTTTACCAGTAGACAGTATTTTTGCTTGTTGAAGAGCAAATTCCAATATGGATTGTTTTACTGTTTTCATGAAACCTAATAACAATTGTTGTTGTTTTTTCTTTCTTTTCATTTCTAACTTGCCCGCTATTGACAATCAACCAATATTAACATGACCATCATCATTATCAACTGGCCAACAATACCAACAGACAACAATTTTGGTACAGTTTATGTTGAACCTTTTGATTCTACCACTTCTTCCTCAACTGATCGTATTACAACTAAAAGTATATAAACTATACAATTGTCGATTATATTACCATTATTAATTGATAATATTTACTCTTACATTATTATTATTTACTCCTTATTATTATCATTTTATGTTTGTATTAACATTAATTCCTTCCTTCCCTTCATCACTTGCTTTTCTCCTTGTCTCCTTGTATTCCCACTTTGATTTCACCAAATCTAATCAAATTACGTTGCTTTTTTTCTCCTCCTTTTCTGATTCCTTTTTCTTTGCATCATTGTCTACAATTAACATCTCTAACCAATCCAATGGACATCATATTCACCTTTCCTGTCCATTACCAACGGATAAAATTACAATAACAATTGGTTGCCTTTGTTTACTGGTTAAATAGCATCAACAGGGAGTCCAAGAAAACCTGTGTTTGGTAAAATTAGAATGAATTCAGTTGATTTACCAAACTCAAATGAGCCAGCAAGTGCCTCTCCATCGCCTTGCCCATCGCCGGTAAGTATTTTAATCAATTAATTTCCAATTAATGACAACAGGTTTACAATTTCATTGCACTAGCCACTAATTTCACTAATTTTGGTCTAGCTTTAGTTTCCTCTTTGGCTCTTTTTTTGTTTCTCATGAGATAATGTTGATGATTTTGGTTATGGCGATGATCATTACTTATCATTGTGAGAATCAACAATCTGCTTTCACTCTATTGAAAATTGGATCACTATCATGGTTGTTGTTTATTAGCTACGTTTATTAATAAATATGTCAAGAGTATTCTGGCAAATTGTCAACTGTCAAGGTTATAAAGATGAGTGTAAAGATGGTGATGATGATATTGGTTAAAAGGTGAAAAAAGATAAATGGTTGATAATGAATTCCAATTTATTGATACGGTTGTTGAAAGTAGGCCAATAGTCTAGTTCATTTTTGGTCTCTCATCAGGCATTAAATTATCACAATTAATAGACACAATTTTTGTGCAATTACTTACCAACTTGTTAGTAAAATTCATACAATTCTTGTCAATTTACTCAATAGCATGCACTAATCATCTGACAGAGGGATTGACTAACCAAAACATTACGCCATCTATCGAGTAAATTATAGCTTTCATCAAACTAAAGCTGTTTGTTGAATTTCATTTCATTTCGAGTTAATTTTCATGATAGTCACTAACAAGTATTTTTCAATTCTGTGCATAAATTTTAAATAATCATAAGACTTTATAGTTACATGTTGTGTTTTCGATCAATTTAATGTCGCACTTTTAAACTAATACAAACATTTTCTGTTTTCTGTTTCTCTCCAACTAAAATCGTCGTATTTGGTTAACCCTTCAGCAACAGTCTTTCAATAAAAAGCCACAACGCCTTTTACCTACCAACTTGTATGTCGCTCTTTACAATTTCAGAAGTAGACATGAGGATGAACTTGATCTCAAGTAAGTATAAATTTGAAGGTCCTTTATAATGGTTTTCAATCAATTATTGCCTTTGTCAACATGGTTATTGTTCTATGTCTAACGGTCTCCTTTGTTTTATCACTCTAGAGCGGGAACAACGTTAACTGTCACTGACACAACTGATCCTGACTGGTGGCAGGGCAAATCTCATGGACAGACTGGACTTTTCCCGTCTAAATATGTTGCTAAACTTTATTCAGGTGAACGGCCTCTTCAAATGCTTCACACTATTCAAGTGAGTGACGGTGAAGGTTCAATGGTTAAATTATTAAGAGATCAGGTAAGAAATCAATGCTTTAACTTGCGTACCGTTGAACAATTAATTAAATGCATATCATTTCTTCACATTTTTCGCAGATTATCATTCAAGTTGGCGATGAAATTGATGGTATAGTCATGATCAGAACTGGAATGAGCGACAAAACGATATCCTGTCCTGCTAAATATGTTGCTGAAGTTACATAAATATATATATATGCATACATGGAACTATAATTTAAAGCATGAAAATCAAAATATTTGATAATTCAGTGAATGCATCAACGCCACATTAATGCTTGGACACTTTGGATCAAAGATTTTTATCGATAAATGGATAACCAAAAGAGCAAAGAAGGCATAAAGAATGACAACAATTCACCAGATAGGCCACATTCCATACAGAAAAGGATGTTATGAATGTTATCGTAAAGGATTATTGCTGTTATACTCATTATTTCCGACATCATTATTGTTATTGTCATTGGAAAACTGAAAAATTTTATTTTCACTTACATTTACCTTTATTCATCCGTCTTACCTAACTAAATCAAACATTATTATATTGACATTATATTAACATATTGTATTTTAATTGTTAAACAGTGTCTAAAAAAATTGAAAATATAATTGCATAGCTTAATTGCTTCATTGTTGATGCTGCCACTGAAAGTTTAATAAATTGTTGTATCATTATGTGCTTATCCGCTCTGGCTATTCAAGCCAACTTGTTTTCACAAATATTACATTCACTCGTAATCAAATCGTAATCTCGTAAAAGTAATCATAATTGTCGATCACTTCATTGAAAATATTCACAAAAGAAGTTTGTTATTAAAGTTAAGTCCAAAATAGATTGACTGTATTGCATACGAATCATGAACATGATATTTCATTCTAGTGTATAATAATAGATGGCACAATGAGTAATACACTAAAAAATTATTCAAAATTCAACATTGATATTTTGGTCAGTTCAAATTGGAAAGACAGATTCGTAATACGAAAGAACCACCATCATTGCATCGATAAAATTCTTGCCTTTGATTTTTCGATTTTTCCTTGTTAAATTGAATCTTTTCAATTTCAATGTGAATTGGCTTTATAGTATCAAATAATAGTTTGAATTCATTAAATCAGAATAATAATTCCTAATAATAACATGATAAACACATCAAATAAATTTTAAATCATGAAAACATGAAAAACTTGTCATTGTGTTTTTCCCCGTTGGGTCAAATATAACTAACAATTGTTGTAAGATTGAATCTTATTTGCAGCTGAAAATCTAATTGGATTGTTGCACATTGGAAAGGTCTTTTGAAAACATCTTCTACGGTTATATCAATTTTTGGTCCGTAAAAAGCACCATCACTGGGATTTAGACCGCATTTATTTCCACTAGAATTTAAAGCATTTTTCAAAGATTCTTCTGCATTATTCCAGATAGAAAGTTCACCAATGTAAGAATCGGGACGGGTGGATAAAACCATATCAAAAGTGAATCCAAGGGTTGAATAAACGTCTTGCATCAATTGTAGACATTCCAGAATTTCTTTTTCAGTCTTTTTATAAAACAAATAAACATTAGTTGGAAAAGATGAATGAATCGTAAAGATAAAATGATAGGAAGAACTTACTTGTGAATAGGAACAGAAAATATGGGCATCATCTTGTTGGAATCTTCTAACTCGAGTCAATCGGGAGACCTCCAGAGACTTCATTTCGATGGAGTACATCAAAGTTTTTCAAATGACATGTCTAAGACTTAATGTCCATCATTTAATCTTTCAGTGCCATTAACCCAATAGGTAAATGAAATTTTAACCTGAAATTGGGAACTAAATGAGAGATTGCATTAGTCCACCGATTTGTGTTCTCAGTGGTACTGTAAAAAGGCAAAAACGACATCGTGCAACATCTTTAGTGACCAAAAATCACGCCGGGATCCGTATTCAGGATTGCTAATCGCTGAACCTTGGGATTAGTTGTCGGAATTTGGAGTTTTTCAAAAACAGGTATCAATGTTGGCCAGTTGGCAAAATCGTCTTTTTGTTCAAACGTCAATCAATGTTAAAAAAATCTGAACTTTTAGCTGCAAGAAATTACGAGAAAAACGTGCAAACTTATTAGTCCCAAACTTTTCTCCCACAGGTTAATACTGACAATTAGTACAAACATTTGAATTCATTGATTTTTCAAATACAACTTTCATTTCTTCTATTATTTTAATATTTATTTACTATTATTCTAATATTTTATATTTCCTGTTAAAAGTTTTACTGTTTCAAATTCGTTTGCTCAGCTGATTTCTTACATGCTTTGAATAGCCTGCCTCGAAACTAAAACTTTAGCCTAATTCGCGATTTATAATTTTTGGTGTGTCAATACAATAACGATAATTCCAATGTCGAATTTTTGGAAATGGTTGCTGTTGATTATGAAACAAGTCCTCACTATTCCAGACTTTCTTGCGTTAAAACGTGCTTCCCTCCTACCGTTAATGAATCTGACTTACCAGAAGCTCTTTTCCAATATAATATCCAAGACCATCTTCACCGAAATAATCATTCAATGATTAATTGTATATGTTATCAAAATTGAATAATCTAAATTAATTCACGAGCAGAGAAACGAATAAAACGAAAGGATAAAACATTTATCTCTAGTCTCTAAGCAGCTTCTCTGAATAGGATTGTATCAAGACAAATGCTTAAACTTGAAAATCTTATTAGGTTGATCAGAGCAAACTAAGGGAAATGTGAATATTAATTAGTACGAATTAATTGAATTTAGAGAGTCCATCAAAGAAGCGAAACTTAAGATTCTTGATTTTTTGCATTTAATTTTCAATAACTATTTAAATACTATCGTTCTACGATTATGTAAAATGATTTTTGTGGCATCTGTTCATAATTTTCTGAAATTTCAGTGACCTACGAAAACTCTACTAAAAAATTTCGCAATCAAATTTCCCTCGGTTCGATCTGATCAACCTAATAAAATCAGGTAAACTGAAGCATCCAACACATCAATCAAACATCAATCTATAATAATGTGATTTTCGAACACATTATCGCTCTCTTTCTGCACTACTTTAACTCGCCAAATGGGCTCAGCTTAATGCAAGTCTTGTCAAATGTTGATAGTCAAATGATGCTGTTAATGGAGTTATAAATTTTGTCTCTATTTTCGCGAGTTGATAGGTTACCGGATGATGTTGCTAAATGAACAAACAAAATATTCATATCCATGATAAGTAAATGTCATCTAATGTAAATGTTAATGTTGATTCGTTGGCTTTGATAACTAAACGTATTCAATTATGGACTCTCCATGGAACCTCTAATTAATATCTTGCGTTAAACTGTGCATCCCATCAAAGTGAATCAAATCTCTTGTGAGACTTGACTTTCGACTAAGTTGTACTCTTGATGAATCCAAAGGCAAAGGAAAACTGTCAACTTTACTTGTTACTCATCAAAGCACATTTGCATCAAGTAAAAGATGCAAAACTTATTACCAAATGGTGCAGAGTTTACAGTAAATAAGGCCAAATGTTGATGATAATTGTTGATTGCAAGATGAAAAAGGATGTAACCAAATGAGAAGAAGAAGCAGCAAAAAAAACTCATATTCAACATGGTCGTTGTTTCTTAATAATCATGATAATAATTCAATAATATTCTTGTTGAATCAAAAGAAATGCTTTTTTCCTTTCATTTTGCCTGTTAAACAAATATTCATTTAAAATTCCCAAGTTCATCAGCATATTATTGATATTTGTAAGTTGATATTAATTTAAATGATAATATTAATATTCATCGTTTGAATGGCAAAAAAAGAGTTAATAATGTTGATAAGCAACTCAAGAAACTGCAGAGCAAAGAAGAAGAAATAAGAAAATATTCAATAATAAATTATTAATTAACGTTCAACGTTTACATGTTGATGAAGATCATGATTACACAATTGATATTGAATTTTGGAAAAAAGTGAAGTTCTAAGTTCTTGGTTGCCAAAAAAAGAGTCTAATGCCTTGAGCTTTTCCTGTAACTTGTGCAGATGAATTTCCGAGTTTTCAATTTAATCATAAAGATGAGACTGTAAATGTAATAATTGCTTATTAACTAACTACGAACGAATTTTATTTCAACAGTTTTCGCATTTTCTCTTCTCACCAAATGAAGTATATTTCAATTCAATATATATATATATATCTGGACAGCAAGGGTAAAACTTTACAAGGTAACATGAGAAACAAAAAGAGGAAAAGAAAAGGGTTAACATTGCAAACGTAAAGGTGTAAAGCATTGAAACACAGGTTGACGCAAATTAAAATGAATATTGTCTCAACGTTGAAGATGGTACAAAAAGATGGGATTTTGTTTCGACTTTGCCTTCGCTCAATCATTTTTTTTATTCAATTACAAATAACACTTTTGGGAGATTTTGGTTTTCGTCTGTCATCTTCATCGGCTGTTATGTTGCTTTTTGATGGGTAAAAGGTTCACCATCCAAGTTGATCTTCATCAATGGTCTAGCCTCTTCTGTACAACACATTAGTTACAATCATTATTGGTGTGAGTAGCTTTTGTTTCACTCCTTATCAGTTTACCAATGTTAGAAGCTGACGAAAAGAAATAACAAGAAAAAATTGCAATAACAGATTCCATTAGTGTTGATCAAAATCAATTGGAAAGTTCCGTTTCCGATTAAGGTTCCATTGAGTAACGATTAGTGATAATTTTATCATTCACTATTATAGTTAGTATTGAAGAGCCATCATGAGCCGAACAAGAAGAAATAGTAAAAAGAAAATTTCATGTAACAAAAGAGTTCTTTTTTCCTCCTTTTTTCTTCTTCTTTTCTGGCATTTATCTATTTTTCTGATGATTTCTTGTTCTGTTTTGATGGTCAGAATGAAAATGTTCATAAAAATTGAGCAAAAAACTCAGCCAATGGATAATGCTTGAAATCTCAAGAGTTTTTCATTTTCTTTTCACTCCTCAAGTTTTCTATCTATTCCGAGACTCTCTGAAAGGTCAGGAAACTTTGAACGTTCCAATGAATAATTGATAAATGTACTTACAGGATCACGTTTCCCTGGCCTTGTGTCTGAAATGCTTCGTCCAAACCTGCCAACGAACAAAAAAAAAGACGAAAAAGAACGAAATATAAATTTGAAGTTTACTCAATTCTCGTTATCGCAATCAAATCATAATTCATTTGCAGAAGCAAAAGAATGGAACAGAAAAAGTTACATTTTCAGTTCGAATACAAATTTTTTTTGAAATCTCAATTTTCCAACCTGAAACTTTTGCCAAAATGAAGAAATTGAAAAATGAAAAATTTTGTTTGATCAAAAAATTATCATTATCGTGATAATCTAAAGATGACAAAAAAGGTTCAAGGAAAGGAGTAAAGAAAATTTTCTCCAAAATCGTTGAGATAAATTTCAAGGTTCACTCTGATAATGAAAGTTAATCTGTGATCTTTTAATACCTTCCCTGTTTACCTCAAGTTTTTTGACGATTCTCATGTTCACTCAGTTTCCATCATAATGATTTATTTATTTTTTGCATTTCAATTTGGTTAATGGTTATACCAATCATGATTAAATCACGCGACCCAATCTGCCTGTTTACTCTATATTTACTTTTCAACTTGTTCCAATCCAGAACTTTACTGTTGTTCAGATAAAAAACTAACGGTAAACAAATAATGATAATAATAATGAGGAAACGTGAATAAATAGATAATCTTTTGCTTCTTTTTTTCATCTTCTTCTGCCTTTTCCTTCGTTGGCCTTTTCGTTCAACTGTTTAGTCTCAATTCACAATCAAAATCTCACAACACTTATCACCTTAACCATCATGATTCTCATTATCACCTGAAAAACGCAAACACACAAAAAGGTAAACATGAGAGTGGAAAGGTTTATGGAAAAAAAGGTGAAAAATTTTTCTTCTCCAGAAAAGCAAAGTTTTTGCTGTCAAATTGAAACAAATGATAAAGCTGAATGTGAAGGATAAAACAAATGTAACAATAAAGGTAATTTTCCTTGATCAACAATTCCATTGATTATCGCCAAACATTATGTAATGAAACAACAACAATCATCGACAAGATTACTTACAAGTTTATCAACAGAACATGATAAATATTGATTAAATAATAATGATGATTCAATAGTAATAATGATATTAATAAGAAATATGAACAAAAAAAAGTTCATTTGAAAGTCGTTGCAGCTTCTTCCATTAAAAGGTAAATGAAAAGGTAAAAGTAAACAGATTAACATTTCTAATGTCATTAATTGCAAGGTTTTCCCTGTCAATTGATATTCATTAGTCAATATTATTGCAATTGATTAACTTTCCTTTCTGGTCAATTGACGTTTTTCAACTGGAAAAGGTACAATTTGATCAAATGATTATTTCATTTCATGTGAAAGTTGAAAGAATTGAAATTTCATCGAAAGCTGAACATTCTGTGACTGTGATTGCTATTTTTGCGAGAAAATTATTAATGAGAAAACTCGTTTTCAATCGTTTCCTTTTTCGCACTTCAATCTCATTATTTTCGTCATTACTTTTTATTGTGATATTTAATTGCAATAGTCAGTTGTAATTAGTGTTTTTCCTAAGCTCAAGTTTGTCTAAATGTCAGTTGAACTTGTTATCGTGTCTACTTTGCATTTGACAAGAAAGGATTTCCTTGATTATTTCATGGACTCGTTGTAAATTGACTCGAGACTTTGACTTGCAATTGATAGCAAATTAATTGCTATTGATAATACTTCATTGTAACAAATTATGACATTAAAATAAAAAGAAAACTCTTCATCAATCAATCAATATTAATCAAATTGTGATCGACGTTTCAAATTGTTTTTACATTCAGTTTCTTTTTTCTCTCTTTATTCATTTCTATTTCTTGATAATGTTGATCATGAATCAGGATGTAGATTTTTGCTTTGCAATTGCAAATATCAGATTTGATTGTGATATATGATCAAGGATAATGAAGGCATCAATATTTGGTTCAATCACTTACCTAGGTCTTGCAATTTGTGAATAATATTTGTCCAGCTTTTCAAGATATCTCAATGCTTCAGCCATGTTGGCCATTTCATCAATGTTTGGACGAGCCGAGGCTTGTTGTGATAAATTTAAAACAATCGTTACGACCAGGATGAATGCATAAACACATGTGCGAACATTTTTCTTTTCCATTTTTTCTTCCGTTTCGTTTGTCGTCTTCCTGAGTTACAGTAGTTGAGGCTTGACTTAAGTTGACTTGTGACCGACAAGGTAACACTCTCTAGGTTGACTTTGTTAGCTGAGTGAGGGTTCGACTCGTGACTGATGAATACGAATGTTTCCGTAAAAATAAACTTTTGCTGTTAAAGCATGAAAAGAGCACAAAATTGAACGTTAAATGAAGTTGATTTTTCGTCCCTTTTTCGTTATCTCAAGTACGACAATTCAACTGACCCAACAAATGGATCAAAAAATATTGCAGTGATACTGATTATGATGTTTACCTGTATAGCTGACAACGGTACAACTGATTTATACTCGGTGGTTGATGATGATTATAAATAATGAGAATAAAGATTTAACTTGGTTGAAAGGAGCAAAGTTGAAGCCAATACAAATGTTAACTTTCACTTTGTTCAATAGCGATTCGCATCACTCTACGCACCTTTTTATCTCTCACCTTTCTTTCCTCTGCCCAAAGAATCTCACTTTTCACTCCCACTCTTTCCTCTCAACATCATCCATTGCCGTTTACTTTTCTCACTCTTTTCCCATCTTCTCACCTTATCTTCCACCGAGTACTTTTCCCTTAAATCTTAGTGAGCTTCTTGCACCCTCATCATCCACATCATCCTCATCATACTCATCATCGTCATTTCTGTTGCTTCTGCTACTTCTCACTTCAACCTAAGGTGAGTCTACATTTATCTGAAGAAGAAGAAAAAAAGTTTCTTCTTCTTCTCCATATTGATTGTTAAGTGGATTGATGTTGATCATGATCATGAAAGTCCAAGATAAATTTTATTACCAACTACTTTTTTCAACTACTTTTACTCAACTTATTATTTTCTTAATTACTCGTCAATTTTTCTCAGCTAAGCGCTCATTTAATTTGAAACTCCATCATAACCATCATGAACCAAAAAGGTAAACTCGATGAAAAGCAACCAAAGAATCAATCAATTTAACTTATCAAGAGAAACAGTTGCTTGGCAGAATCAAATTCCCAAAACAATAATCTTTTAAAATTGTAATCTCATTCAATTTGGACATTTTTCATTCCAATGTCTCAACACTGCGGAAATATTTGGAGCGAATGAAAAATCACACTTTTCCTTCTAACCAAGTTAACAAAAATTTCAACAATTTAAACACCTTTTGAATGACAACACAATGTAGCCAATAATCACAGTAAAGTTTCAATTTCATCTTAAACCTTTAATGGCTCATAAGATGAGACAATTTCTGGATAACCTTTTCCTCTCAACCAACGAAATGCTCGACCAAGTTTAGCACTTTTTTTGGACGAAAAGATTCTTGTTTATTTTTATTGTTATTCATGACAGTCGACATCATTGCCTTTGTACGTTTCAAAGGTGAATAAAACTTGAAATATTTTTTCTCTATTTTTTGGAAGCAAAATGGCCAGAATAATCTAGATTTATTTCAACTAATAATTTATCAAATTTTCTCACTTTTTTTGTCATTCAATGTTGAATTGGAAAGAAACCAGAAAAGTTGAAACTTATTGTTTCCACTCTTCAGATAATAAGCATCATTACATGATGAAGAAGATGAAGTGAAAAATGAAATGTTGTACAATAATGCAATTGTAATAACAATAAAGTGAGAAACAAAAAATGTCAAAAGGCCAATTTAATAGCCATTAAAAAATGTTTATCGTTTGATTCGTTGGATTCGTTGGATTCTTTACTCTTTTTTCTTGTATTGTTCAACTGATGCAATTGTGATCCAATGAAAAGGTGAACTTTTCTTATTGAACTTTTCTTGTCTTTTCTTTCATTGGTTTCATCAAGTCAACAGATAATCAAATTGAAAAATCTGGTTAAATTTATTCAAAGCACTTTTCTCAATTCATTTTTTCTTTTGCTTTTTTATTCCCTTTGGTTGATGTTAACGTTTGATTTGAATAAACTAAATGTTAATAAAGATTGATAATCTTTTTCCGATTCGCTGATTCACCTGGATTTGTTAACATGTAAAGCTTAACCTTTCAGCTGAATTTGCGAGGGAATTTTGCCTGTAAATAAGAAGGAAAAGTTAACAACATTTGCTTTCCATTTTACTATTCAACTTTTCTTCTTTTTTTATCCAACTCTTGTTGATGGTTAACTTTTAGACTTTTTTTTGTTGTGTTCCTTTTCCAACATTATTGTTGGTCACTTTTATTTTTCACTTCATTTGGTCAAGGTGTAGATAATGATGTTAATCCAGTGTCCAATGCACTTATTTCTAGAGCCTAATTTAGTTTACCTAATTTAATTGAAACTGCATCTTTTGGCTCATTGTTATCACTTCAGCTAATGTATCATTGATCAGATTGAATTTCATCTGATCTCAGTGGTCAATTCCATTATAGTTACTTAGATAATGCAAGTTATTTCTGACCATTTGTAAATCTTTTGTACTCACCTTATTTAACTTCTTTAACCATTTTACTTTGCCAACTCAAAAATCCTTCGACATATATTTTTGTAAGTTTAAGGTCTTCGTAATAAGGTCTTTGTGACATGAGAAAATTTCAATGATTAAAAATGCAAGATTCACTGAAAAAAATGAATTTTTTTATTAAATCAACATAATTAGATCGGCACAGTTTTGCATGTCATTCAAATGTCTTTGTGATTACAATTAATTTTAACTTTTCTCAATGAATAGCACCTGTTGTTTACATATTTCAAGGGACTGTCTTTATCTGGTACTTGTATAAAGTACTTTAGAAATATGTGTTTTTTATTCCAGGTACTGGTGCCCTGAGACAATTAGTTTCTGACTACGTGTTGGCAACCATCCAATTTCATATGAATATGACCAGCCTCGAGCCGGAGATCATTCAGATAAAATCATTGAATTGCTCGTGAATGTAAATTTATTGCCCTGAATAAACAAGATCATCAAAAACTATATAATTTCCAGAGTTTTGAAGAATCCAAAAATGATGAAATTCGGCCTCAAAGTTGTTCAAAAGATAGTAACTATAGTTATTTTATTATTACCAGTGAAGTGACCTTATGGTCTTTCAATTTCAGGGTGATTTCTTGGAATATTCGCAATCCAAGTCCTTTTTTCAGAAGTCTCTTTTTAATTCGTGAAATAATTTTTATTGAAGTTTCGATGTGACCTCAACCTTTCAATCTACTTAAGTCGAGTTGAAAAAATTCCATCTTTTTTCACTACTTTGAGACCATTTTTCGATTCTTCAAAACCTTGGTGGGAAGTTCGAAATATCTGGTATTTGATGTTTATCTGTTTCATTATCATCGAGTTAAAAAATCCTTTTCCAAACTTTTGATCATGATTGCAGTCGCCGGAAATATGTGATTTAATTATATTTGAAAGCACAGAAGCATTTGAATATTAAAACTCAATACCTATCAATGTTTTAAAATTAAACGTTATTTAATGCTGAAAAGCTGAACCCGGGTAAAGTTACGAATTTCAATTTATCAAAAAAAAGTATAAATTTCCATGAAATTAAAAGAATTCATTCCGTTCACATTTTAATCGCATGCTGAACGGAATATCAATGGTTAATAAAGCAACAATGCTAATGTAAACCTGAAACCTTCAAACATTTTATTCAGTTATTAGCAATAATAATCTACTTTTTACTCTTGCAACTCCAACAATTTTGTTCACTCTTGTTAAACACTAACTAAACTCAAAGGAATAAATTATCATGATCAACTTGAAATGCAAATCAACATGGCAAAAAGTTACAGGTAACTTGATAATCGGAAATGATATTCCCTAATAGCATTATCATTGCTTTTTCTCCCCTCGACTCAAAGTTCAAGTTGTTCAACTTTAACCACAAAAAAAGATTATGTTCAATGTCTGATGTTTAATGCATTCCAAGGCGATAAATGTTATTCAAAGTAGCCATGAGCAGGTACAAGCTAACCATGAAGACATTTATCAAATTAATGATTATAATATGATGATGACCAGCACTAATTGGCACAAGAAAAATGACTGGAAAAGATGAGTTACCTTCTGAAGGTATTACTAGAATTTTCAGGCTAAATGATCATTCTCTTAGGATTTCGCTTCACTCCCAGCTAATATCATTGTAACACTATCAGTGTCAACGGAACACGAAGTTCATCTTTTTCCTTCTTATTCTTTCTCTTCTTGTTTTTTTCTGCTTTTATCTTTCCATTTATTCCATCATATTATTCTGTGAGAATATAAAGTAACATTTTCTATTCTTTTCTTTTTTTGCCTCTTATAAATAATGCGTGTTCAGTCTTTTCATGAATCAATGATATTCTCATCTTTTATCATAATGTTTACTTTTCCTTGTTTAACCAACTTTATCACTTATTAGCTTATCATTTGTGACTTTGTTTTATTCAATTATTTAATGAACGTTTCATTTAAAACCCGGTTAATATTCAATATTTGATAACATTCAATTCGAAATATTTTTCAGGCTAAAAGGTAATTTATGTTGTTGGATAGAGTTGATTTATTTTTGGAAATGATTAGTTCAACAAATGGAAAAATATTTTTTCTTTTCCACCTTAATCCTTGCTATTATTTTGCTCAATCAGCAAACTGGAATCTTGAAGCAAAATAAGGCACTAAGGTTGTCCCACGGTGATATATCTAGTCTCTTGACTACACTGTAATGGCTATACATTTAAAGTAAAATCTTGTGATTCTGATGGATCGGATATTCTATCAGAAAATGACATTTAAACTTGTAAAAATCTGAGTCCTGCAGAATAGGATTCATCTAAAGTATCAAAGGTATCTGAAGTAAAAATTGATGATGAAGATCGAAAGATTTTGAAATAGAAAAGATTGGATAAGAATTTGGTGCAAAGTTGAAAGGTAAGACTTTTATTGTAGTTGGACAATGAATCTACTCTAAAGACAAGACTTTGGTTTGCTATTCTGCATGTGTCAATAGACGGGACTCGGTAACGAAGTTTAGTGAAATCATCTAGCAAGACGAGATGGAAGATGCCGACTAAAAGAAAAAAGACTACAATTAAACTAGAGGGGAACAAGTACAATATAACTGGAGTTGATTGAGAGTTGATATTCAGTTAATATTGTTTTGTAAGATTTAAAAGGTGAAAATGAAGTCGAGGATGAAGAAGATCATAATGTATTACGATAACAGAAAGCAAGTCCAAATCAGACTCAAAATATTTACATGTAGATCTACACAAAAATCATGTTTTTGGTTCACATAATTACTGTTCGTTATTCATTTATTGTCTGTTGATTAATGCAATCGAAAGGATTTTAATGCTATTTTAGCTTGGGTAGTATTGGAGCGATCCATTGATGGTTACCCTCGCATAGTTAATTTAACTTGAGATGCGTAAAAACACTTTTAATTTACTCTCCAGGTCTTGTTTGAGCAGGGAAAAAGGTTTGGACAATTTCTGATTAGTTTTGATTAAGTTGTGCGCAAAACAAAAATTTTTGACAGAGAAATTTTTTGAG